TTCGGATATGAGTATAGGTCGGATCCGGAGGTCTAGAGATATCGGATGAGGCGTCTGGATATCGGATGAGCGGATCCGGAGATCTAGGTGAAGACGAGACTAGGATATAGATCATGGATATCATCCGGTAGTCTAGGGAAGGTAAAGTCTCAGGTAGGATGAGCTCGGATCCGATGGGATCAAGGGTGGATGAAGCAGGCTTAGCTGCGGAGGTCCGAAGGTATGGATATATGGATGTACGAAGGTGTACGGATCCGAACCGATAGTGGACTGGAGGACTGCAGGCATGGATAAGGGTATGGAGTCATGGATAAGGGTATGGAGGTCCGGATGTGCATCCGGAAGGCGTCCGGAAGGCGTGGGAACATCATCGGAGTAGGTCCAGAATACGGGATATGACATCATTGAAAGCATCAAACTCCTGATGCGAAAATATGATCTAAATTCTGAAGGACCCCTGAGAGTGAAGGCTATCTGCATATCAATGCCTGAAAGCATTGAGGCCCGACATCAAAATCATTGAAAGCATTGAACTTCCAATGCTGAAATTCACCTGATATATAGTATTTTGCTCCGATCTCACTCAAATCACATCTGTTTGAGATAATCAAAATTCTGATGGACCCCTGAGAGCAAGGGCTATCTGGGTGGTAATGCCCGAAAGCATCGGACACTCAGCACTCGGAAGGCACTTGGCACTCGGCACTCGGCACTTGGTACTCAGCACTTGGTATCAGTATATGGGATTTTGCATATATCTCACTCAATTATATCTGTTTCAGACAATCTGAATTTTACCACACCACACCCCTGAGATCGAGGGCTATCTACATGTCAATACCCAAAGCATTGGACCTGACATCAAAAACATCGAAAGCATTGAACTTCTGATCCAAAATTCACCCAGTATAGTATCTTGTTCATATCTCGCTCAAATCACATCCGTTTGAGATGATCTAAATTCTGACGGGCCCTTGAGAGTGAGGGTGATCGGGTGTTAATACCCGAAAGCATCGGGACCTCACACTCGGAAGGCACTTGGCACTCGGCACTCAGCACTGGCACTCGGCACTTGGCACTCGGAACTCAGAACTCAGAACTCGGCACTCAGCACTCGGTAGTCAGTATATACATAGTATTTTGCAAATATCTCACTCAAATTATATCTGTTTGAGACATTGTGAGTTCTGCCACACCCCTGAGATCAAGGGCTATCTACATATTAATACTCAAAGCATCAAGACCAGACATCAAAAACATCGAAAGCATTGAACTTCTGATGCCAAAATTCACCCGGTATATAGTATTTTGTTCATATCTCACTCAAATCACATCCTTTGAGATGATCTAAATTCTGACGGGCCCTTGAGAGCGAGGGCTTTTAATACCCGAAAGCATCGGGTCACTCGGCACTCGGCACTCGGAACTCGGAACTCGGTCTCTGCACTTGGCACTTGGTACTCAGCACTCGGTAGTCAGTGTGTGGTATTTTGCATATATCTCACTCAAATTATATCTGTTTCAGACAATCTAAATTTTGCCACACCCCTGAGATTGAGGGCTATCTACATGTTAATGCCCGAAAGCATCAAGACCCGACATCAAAAACATCGAAAGCATCAAACTTCCAATGCTGAAATTCACCCGGTATATAGTATTTTGCTCATATCTCACCCAAATCACATCCGTTTGGAGGTGATCTAAATTCTGATGACCCCCCTGAGAGCGAGGGCTATCTGTGTTTTAATACCCGGAAGCCTCAGGGCACTCGGCACTCGGCACTCGGCACTCGGCACTCGGCACTCGGCACTCGGCACTCGGCACTCGGCACTCGGCACTCGGCACTCGGCACTCGGCACTCGGCACTCGGCACTCGGCACTCGGCACTCGGCACTCGGCACTCGGCACTCGGCACTCGGCACTTGGTACTTGGTAGTCAGTACTCGGTGATTCGAGTCTCGAGACTCGAGACTTGTGATTCACAAGTCAAAATTTGAAACTAATGTGTAGTATCTTATGTATTTCTGTACTCATTTCACTGACTACCGAGTGCCGAATCTCGGGTCTTGGGTATCAGGTCTCGGTACTCGGTACTCGGTATTTCCAGATGACAAAAATGTATATCATCTTAAATTGAATTTTCTTAACTCGTAAAAATGTATGACTTTCCAGTTGGGTTTTGAATTTTGAGTTTTGAGTCTCTTGAGTCCCGAGTCTGGGTGTTCAGGGCTCGGGTTTCAGGTTTCAGGTTTTGGGTTTTGGGTTTTGGGTTTTTAGTACTTGGTACTTGATATTACCCGATGTCGGCCCACCCGTCTATGTAAAATTCTGCACTTCAGCCCACCTGTCTATCTAATATGACCCCACGTCGGCCCCACCTGTCTATGTAATAAATAATTCACCTCACCCTCGGCCCACCCGTCTATCTAATATTACCCCACGTCGGCCCACCTGTCTATGTAATAAAATAATTCACCTCACCCTCGGCCCCACCCGTCTATGTAATAAATAATTCACCCCACCCTTGGCTCACCCGTCTATCTAATATTTCCCTACATCGGCCCACCCGTCTATGTAATAAATATTTCACCGCTCCCTCGGCCCATCCGTCTACAAAATAATACTGATACGTCGGCCCACCCGTCTATATAATACTATTTGCTATACATCTCTCCTCAGGTCTATAATATATGTCAATCCTACTCTACATATTACCCACATGGGCCCACCCATCTCCATAAGAATATTTCTCCCGGCCCATCTGCTATCATCGATGATATATATAACATCAGCATAGATGGGCCCACCCCTCTCCATCGGAAATAATATTCCTCCCGGCCCACCCGTCTCCATCAGAAATAATATTCCTCCCGGCCCACCCGTCAACATCGGGTATATACATAACATCAGCCCATAATCCGCTGGCCCGTATTACATGGGATATTATGTAGGTCGGGTGACCCGTATAATATGGGATTTGTCACTGAAGGGGCTCATCCCTAATCTCATCTTTCCTGCACGTATTGAGAAGGACTCTAGGCCATGTGATGCATCTTCTAAAGTCCGGGTCAGTGCATATGCCTCATTTGAATTGGGTCCCATGCTCAGTCACAGAGAAGTCCTCTGCACATTCAAGATCTCCGTCCGAAAATTGCTGGATCGCAGTGAAAAGTCACATCGTTAGCAACATCTTTTGCGAGTAACATCTGACAGATGTTAATGAGTATCATAGTCATACTCTTTCAGCCAAGGCAGGGGGAAGTTGTATCCATGTATCTCACTATTCATGACACTGGAGCAGCGACTTTCTGATGAAAACAACGCCGCAGTTCTTTGCCCCGTGACTACTGTGAGTGACCAATGCAGTCTAGCATTCTGATCCTGAGAGCTTGCAATGTGTAGCTTACATCCCATGATATATATGTGTTAGTACTAAAGATGGATGCCGGACATCGTCTTCTTGTGCGATACCGCTGTGAGAAACACAACCTGACTAGGCACTTGTTTAAGGTGCTCAGTCAGTATATGTCTAATGCTCTGCCTATGCTGCTATACTTGCAAACAATAAAGCAAGAATGTTTGACCTGAGGGAAATACTACTAAGGACAACTTAAGATAGAAACACCTGAAAGTGCATCGCAAGATACAGCACTAGTGCACAGGAAAGTATGTCGCAACTATAGAGCGCTATGGCATGAGAAAAGCGGAAGTGCGGGTCGCTAGATGGTCACTAATGCGTTGGTAGTGGAGCGCTAGTGTGCGGGAAAAGCGGAAGTCAAGCAAAGCAGATAGAGTCAAAGGAAGGTGCTGGATAGTGAGTGAGGTCAAGGGTATCGATTGCAAGGGTAAGGAAAGTCAAGGTAAACCAATAGGGGCTATAGAGTGCAACTAAAGCTGACTACTTCTAAGTGAAACCTAAGGAGAAGGAAATACTTCTTATACTAGTAAACTATACCATCTCGGACTTGGAAGGGATAGGATATACATGTAATAAGACTGTAGCACTTTTCACAAACTCGAGGCAAGGCAAATTACATACCAATGAGGTAGGATGGACCATGGATGAATTCCGATGTTTCAGGTGGATCCTAGAGCGTGAGAACAGCGCGCTGGATAAGCGCTAAGCGCTAGATAGAGCGGACATGCACTAATGCTCCTATAGACACATTGCTGGTAGTTCTGATAGCGCTATAAGCGCGGGAATAGCATCGGATATGTCGCGGGAGCATGAATAGCGCTGCGGGAATGTGCGCGCATAGTGCGGGAAAGTGCGGAATAGCATCGGACAAGGGTTATGGCTGAGACAAGTGAAGGCTGCTGATAGGGGAGTAGTGAATAATATGAGGGATAACTTTGGTCCACCTATTGAAGGCTTATGCAGGTATACATGCTTAGCGCCAATATGATTGTCACACCACAGGATGCAGAACAGTAGGGATCTCAACCAATCCATAAACCACTTTGAAGGCGCCTTGGATTTCTGCCTCATTGTCCATTCCTACTGCCCTGCAGCACTGCTCAATCTAGCTACCGCAAAGTTTGTCAGTCACAAAGCTAACAGAAGACACCTCGACCTCAACATCCCTATCAATCTGTTTCAAGATGCCCTTGATTTGTATCCCACTGAACATCCAGACCGAACCATCACCCAGCTCCATCTTGCCATTGCTCTGCAACCTCACTTCGCAAAATGGGGATTTCAAACAGATGCTAATGCAGCTAGAGAGTTACTGAGTGAAGTCCTTGATGTCTGCCATGCCAACAGTCACATTTGCAGAGCAGCTTTGATTGCAATCAAAATACCTGCTCTGTATTCTGCTGAAAGCATTGATGCGAATGATATTGGGCAAGAGCAGCCTGCCGCACCCATGCTTCTGTTATCGCCGGATCAACTTGGTCATTGAGCAGAGCGGTGTTTGCAGAACGATGATTCCCATGTTTAATGATATGACAGAGGCAAGGGTGTACCACAACAGGTTCTAACAAACTTGTTCATCATATCAAAACTGCTTGGACGCTCCACCATTAAGCGAATGCAGTTTGCATTCAGCATTGACGTCCAGCCAGCTGTCAGATTGAGCTGACATGCTGGACAACTGGTGAAATGATCATCAATAATCCACAGGTATATATACCCCTCTCTCCTGCATTCAGTCTCCAGTAAAGTCAATTGAATTCTTTCACCCATTACACTCAGATGTCTACTAGAGGCAAGGGCGTACCGCAACCGTGGGTTTCTGGCCTAGTGTCGGCAACCGCTAGTTCTTCGCCAGACAAAGTTGTATTTTGGACAGAAGGTAGATGGCATATGGAAGTCTGCTTGTACAGGAGATGGTTTATGTACTAAGGATATTTTTACAATGCTGCTCAGCTCATTCCAACCCATCACTCAACATCAATCAGAACAACCCGTCCACCACTCTGGTCCATGTCCAAGCAATGCTGTCATGGCCTCAATCTTTTTCTCATTGAGAGGCTTCTGAATAGAACCTTCTTCATCTGAGTACATGTAGAGCACCTGGATGGTGTCAATCGGAATGTCCTTGGGTTCTTCATTGTCGACTGAGCCACGGTTTGGATTGAAGCAATGTTTCCATCCAAGATTGTCGATGTCTGCCAAGTATGCAAGGCCTTTGAAATATTCTTTTGACTTGTTATCTATGTTATTGTGATTGTCTGATTTGAGCTTCTCCAAAAACCAGTCCAGCCATTTCTCAGAGACTGCATATCCATAGTACTGGACATGAGACTGCGTTTCCAGATGGATAATTTCAGACATTCACGGTGTGAACGTGATCGCAGTCTTATTGATCATTAGTAAGTAAGTAAATGGTGGAAGATATGATCTACCTTCAAGATTTCAAACAACCTCAACAGGAAAGAAGACATGTTCTTGATAGAGAGTGAAAAATGATGAGTGTGATTCGATGTTGAGAGGCAGATGAGGCAGAGTCGAAGGGCTATTTAAGTGATTGGCACCACTCAGCCACATACCACGGAGTTGTGGACAGGTGTCAATTCATTGTTTAGTCTCCCCTAATTATACAAATAGAGGGAAGACAGTCTTTTCTTCTATAAAGTCAATCCACAGCGCGCTGATATAGTAGAGGACTCCACATGTGCTGCATCTGGAGAAACACAATCAGATTTGTCCAATTGCCTGTGGAAATCACTGGACAATTAATGTACGAACTGGGGGTCCACATTGTTAAGCATACAGAATGGCTGGGGAATCACTGTGGCCAGTGGTTTACACAGATCGGTCCAAGTTATTAAGTAACCTTGCCACTCAACTCTCCTCCCACTTTGAGCACTGGGGCAATGACAAAGACTTGGATCAGGCTATCACACTTCACAGGGAAGCACTGGCTTTGCATCTGGTCAGTCCAAGTCATTAAATAACCTTGCCACTCAACTCTTCTCCCACTTTGAGCACTGAGGCAATAGAGAAGACCTCAACGAGTCATGAGAGAACCTACACTGTGCATTGACTCCATTGATGCAACCATGATCCTCATCAATTAGTAGTCCATACATCAGGCTCACTAACTAAGGTCTATCTATCATTCCATTATTTGGGGCTTGATGGCACCAGTGCGGGCGAAGATACTGACAGTCTGAATTCTGCAATACACTTCTGGACACTTACATGTCCACGACAGCCTCAGTATCATCTTGTCACAATATCATGAAGGACTTCCCAAGAACGCTTGCCATGGATGCTGCATCGTGTGCTCTTCGTAGTGGCGACATGTGTCGCACTGTTGAGTTGTGGGAACAAGGCAGGACTATCATCTGGACCCAGATGACGCGACTCCGCACACCTCTTGACAGCCTCTGGACATGCGGCAATCACGCAGTGGCCCTGGTGAAGAAATTCAGAAACCTCAACTCCCTCCTCAATAAACCTCCTGCGAACAATCTAGAAGTAACCCCAAGAGTCGATGCAGAAGCAGAAGGAGCCTGGTACAGACATTTAGTGAATGACTGGAATGGAGCTGTAGAAGAAATCTGGAAGATTGAGGGCTTCTCTCGCTTCCTCCTTCCCCCCTTATTCTCCGATCTTCGAGATGCAGCTCGTGATGGGCTTATCATTGTGCTCATTGCAAGCAAGTTGTCTTTCCATGCCATTATTATCCTGCACAAGCAACCTCCGACCAGCATTCAACTCCTGACCAATTTTGAGAAACTCCAGGCATTCCAGACATTGGTGGTCAAACTCAAACGGGAAAGCAAAGAAGCCCTGAAAAAAGTCTTCATTCAGTTGTGAGACAACATCATCGGCCTGGTGGTTGAAAATCTGCACAAATTTGCATGACCAGGTTCCAGAATATGGTGGTGCCTGACGTCTGTTCAATTTCTTGCCAGCGCGTTTTATTCAAGAGTTTCCACGTGTGCGCACTGCGCGTTTTCATCAATGATGATCAATGATCCTCCGCATTTGTGAGGATGCTACCTTTTCAAATGTAACTACTGCTCACACCCACTCATACGCAAAAAGGACTCTGCATTGTGCTCGCACTTTGACAGCACTGGGGGTGACGACTCAGCCATGAGGGTTAGTATAACATGTTAGGTGTGTGTTTGTTGGACTAAGGATGCACAAGGTGTTGGTCAAGAGAGTAGTGGTGGATGACTTGTTACTGAATCGTGTCAAGTAGACTGTGGTCATGCTAATGTAGTCACGTCCTTCCAGTTGTCTGGCAATGCCCAATATTCCTGGTGAATCCACATGCTTATCTTGAGTTATTTACACAAGTGGGGCGCACAAGCCACTGCTTACCAAACAGGTTGCCTTAGGACACTCACAACCACATCAGCGATCTTAAGTTCCAAAAGTCATATCAGCATTTCTTACCATGGAGTCTGGCACTGGGCCGGAAAGCTCTTCCTGTGTCAAGAGAAGGTTCAACTGCAACTGCGCTGGCACTCATGCGCCATATGATTTGGCAGGCACACCACCATAGGGTGACCAGTACTCCCTGGCCTAGAATATTAGGAAAGAGCAGTGTGAAGCTTGGGGTAGTCAGAACATATGATATATTAGAACTGCCAAATTGGGTTATGTTTTGACTCAAATTACTGCTTTCGGATCATACTAACATGCACAGAGATTATGTAATATAATATCTTAGCTTCGAAGTACTTGCAGCATTTGGGGTAGGATTTATTGCTGGTGTTGGGAATTTCAGAAAAAGACTAATGCGATAGTTGGCGAGACATGTAATCACCCACTGCTAATCTTATTTGGAAGCTCAGGTGTCTAGTTTGGTTGTCTAAACAACTGTACTATCTCAATCTAGGTTTGACAAAGTTCCATCATAGAACTTTGTCAAATCTAGTCTGGAGGAGTTTGTTGAGAAGCAGACTCGTAAGGTTTTCCATGGCCCGTATATTGTCAGATTAGCATCTGAATATAGCATCTGAATATCACCACCACTATGTGCAGCTCCCAGAGCTCACAGCAACACCCAAGTGGTGCTCCCATTTTCCCTAGTATGCCAAATCATATTAGCCATGACCAACGCTGTATGATGATGGACGCACCATACAACTTCAGCGGTAGAGGTGGGGACCAATCCCACCTGTCTCCATTTTCCCCGATGGCACCTGGTTTACCTCCACAGGATGACGTGTTTGGTGGAGGGTCTTGCGAGCGGTCTGGCTTGCCGCATGAACAACAAATACACTATTGCATCCTAGTATGCGTGTGCCGAGCGTGCCAAACTTTGCTCCAGGCAGGTCACCCTACCTTGGCCATTCAGATTCTTGAATGGTAGCGAATCGTCTTCCCGCGCACAATCTCTAGGCCCTGTACCAGATTATAATCAGCACCCATACCGTGACCACAGACAACAACAAATACCTACATACGGTTTCAACGGTCCTTCCCCAGGCCTGTAGCATGACCCTGTGGCGGATGGTCCTGGATCAGCAGGATATCCATCAGGAAATCAACCCTAAGTTGATATGACCAGATATAATTGGTAATAAAAAAACATTATTACATGTCATGTTTTAGCTTTAGATATTATTATCATGGTGTCACACATATCTAATCTATGATATGCCTATGTCAGAAAAATATCACTTTGATGCATGTCTTGGAAGCAGACAACAATGTGATACTGTGATGTTTTAGCTTTACATGTCATTATCATGGTGTCACACATATCTAACCTATGATATGCCCATGTCATCAGAATCTCACCTTGATGCATGTCTTGGAAGCAGACAACAATGTGATAACTTGGCCATTCATGCACGTCTGAGAGGTCACAAGTTGGCGCCACTGATCCCTAGTACATACAGACCCTCGGCAAGAATTTGAAGCAGTACTTACATCAATACTTTCCTTTACTTGAACCCACAGAATGATGTCTTCACACATCCATTTTCAAATGAAATAGTTGTACTGTAACTACAATGTAGCATTATGCAGTATGGTATTTGATTCCGGAAACCAATGGATTATATCTTGATGCTCTCTTCCTCGTGTATCATGAGAGAGACTCAGTAAAGGTTACAGGTCTCAAATGTGTACTGTAAGAGATGCTTGTCCCGAAAAATTACAATTATAATACCGCACATATTCTATGACATCGGTTCTACCAGACATATCTGATTGAAACGCAGATTTACAGTGACGGTAGGCATAATACTAAATTCTGCAGAACTGTGTTTGATGCTGCACTTCATCACACTTTGGATGAGCCCACGATGAGGCCCGTCCAGAATAAGGCACTCTTGATTTTTTTTACATAGAGGGGCAGGACTCAGGTAAATGGTGGGATATGATAATGTTTGATGATGGCGCCTGCATTGTTGGATGTGCAGTATGCCGCAACACATCCCTCTGGCCTGGATCCATTCTCGCTGCAGAAAGGGTGAGAACAAGACATTGATACCAATCGCCTAGACAGTGATACATCAAAGACTGGTGAGACCTTCAGCATCGCGTGATATTTGAAGAACGTCGAAGAGGACTCCCTGGTCATCAACCGAGCTAGTGGGCCTGTAATAAATGAGTAGAGATTGCAATGGCTCCATTTGGGACTAACCATTGTCTGAGGATTTCTCTGCTCTGGCATTAATAGTGTTCTGGGCGTCCAACTCACTGACAGTCCAGGAGTCGTATGTCGATGGCTCGGGGTTAGGATTGATGCTTGATGAAGGGCCTTGCGCCACATTAGTGCCTCCCGCGCTTGCAGACCAGGTGATCCACATGCTGGATGACGAGGAAACGGAGTCTGTAGTGGAAGCCAACGAGCTGGAAGGAACTTTTTCGATAGGCGGAGTGATGCTTGGGGGTGGAGGTGCCAAGTACGATCATTTCTGCAAGTTGCAGAATGAAATCAACTCCAGGCCTTTGAGCATCGCCCTGTTTAACCTCTTGCCATACCTGGAAGCCGTGAACCTATAAATTGCTGTGAAGATATGAGTGCCACTCACCTCATGACAACATCGCAGTTTTTCAGCGTGATACACTTCTGGCCATGCAGAGCAACGGTACACAACTCAGGGCCAAGACTGTAGAGCATCGCTCTATAGCCCTTTGGTTCACCCCCAACAATGAACACTTCTTGTCTGATATCCTTTTTAAAATAATCTAAGTTGACATTACGTACTTTCACAACGAATCTGATTGGAACATCGATCTATCATAAGCCAGATAAGCTTGAGTCGAGGTGAATGCTACTTACCAGGCTGTGATCACCATCACATATCATAGTCAAGCGAGCGTTGGGAAAGTCTATGCTTTGAACGACCCCTTTCGCCTCACACTCCAGCCCAAGGGCGACAGTCATGACGTCTCCAGGTTTGACGTCATACCCTCTTTCCTTTGTGTATTTGAGTGTCTGGGTGATTTTCATTCGCTGAACTGCTGCTACGGGAACTGAGGTACTCCACAGTACGCCACTGGCAGTGCTGTCTGCAGTGAAAATATCTCTGAACCAGAGTTGGGTGTCTCCCTTAGAAAACCAGATGATGACACCGCTTTTGCCTATATGCTCTCCCACAAGGACTTCTATGAAATCACATATTTCAGAGTCTGACTGGGGGGGTTCGAAATGCTGCTGTGTTTGCAGCTGTGATTGTGCTAGGTGATCCAACAGACGCTGATCCAAGAAGTATTTTGATACTTCCACCTATGTGCAAGTGTTACATCATTAAATATTAAATTCAGATGAGAAATTTACCTGCTGGTTGGTAGCATGTTGACAGACAATAGATGTATCCCCGCACATTTGGATGATGTGCCCTTGCAAACCCAAGTATGAACCAGCTACGACTTTCACAGTATCACCAACTCAAAAGACACGTTCGACGTCCTGAAGATGAACTTCTACTTCTTTGAGACGTCCATCAAGGATTATTGCAACCTGATGGTCCCAAAAGTATGGTCAGTGGAGATCACCTGACCGAGCTCTCCACGAAGAGAGCCTTTGACTACCCTTGCCAAATCGCCCACGTGCAGGAACTGCATTGAAAACGCGACCAGAGTTGTTTGCAGGAAGGGCATGTTCCATCCGGCATCCAGGTGCAGCTGAATGTCATCCTATGTGAGGGGATGTGATGAGTTCTAGATGATCACGGTGAAAAGTTTTTAGGAGGAGCCCCTTGTAGTAACTCTCTCCCTTGTGCTTCCATCCTACAACTTCGCTATCATGAATGACGTCGGACATGGTATTATTGTTCGGCAGGTGAGCTCACTCAATTAGCGCCCGAGATCCTTGAGTCATAGAATAGGGGAACTGGAACGCAACAATACCATTTGTCGAAGCGCATCAGAACGATGGTGAGATGCCACTTGATGCTTCACCCGTGCTATGTGATGAGCAAATCTGACGTGTATCAATAGATAATGTAGGCTCCAGACCTGTGTCTGGTCATGTACAAATCTAATGTATATAAATGAATACATTGACACCATGATATTGTGCTCGGTGAAAGATAATCTGAAGATTAAGACTTTGTCTGATATTGACGTCACACACTCACTATAACAGTATGTGTTTTGAACCTTCGAACTCTGCATAAGACACTGATCTGGTTGCAGCAATTCCAGTTAGGTATTGCTGTGGTGTAGGTGCTGCTTGTGTCATTCCTAATCATATGACGGAAGCATGGAGGCAAATGAATGATCATCTGAGGATGAACATGAGTTTTATGCCACACCACCTTGAACACATACCTCTACGTGAATAATACACTGCAGGTATGCATGCTCTCCCAAAAAATTTCTTGATGTTCACTGTACAGAGGATCAACCATCTACAAAATTCTGGAGGCATGGAAACTTGCCCATGTAGCCGCAACTGCTGGTCACACATTCGGCAACATATGTCCCTTGACATGGACCTCTAGTTTGCTGAAGTATTAATACTTCAACATAACTACCCCCTGTGGCGCAAAGACAACAGGGTAGTGAAAGGCGTGTGCTTCCCGATAAGCAGCAAAATGTGAAGGGTGGATTTTGTGACCTAGTTGGGTGGTTGGCCTATCGTTTCAGATGTGAATTATTTTTTCATCTGCCTTCAATCTGAAGCACTCACCATTGAAATGTTGCCAGCTCTCCTGTTTGGCCATGGTAATGAAGTATACCATGGCGTGCAATTAAGATAGTTACCAACATTTTCACGATTTTAGGGTCGGCCTCGAACTCAGGTTCGAGGCTCGAGCAGGTAGAAGAAGGAGAAGAAGTCTCAGACTCAGAGAATGCAGAAGATGATGAAGATGGTGAAGACATTTGTGCACACATAAATGAAAGGTAGCTGCCCCATGAACACTTGAAGGTTTATAGCTCATCCTTCAGCCCAATCAACTCAGCGCCATCACGTTCCTGGCCATATTTTCCAGGAATGGAATTATTGCAAATTTTAGCAGCTACCACTGTGCCATCACATCATATTTCTCTGGGATCGTGTAAAGCCTGGCGAATATTCCTGCCCCTCCAGCCCAACCAGCTCAGCACCATCATGTTCCTGGCCATGTGACACTCAAGAAACCCTCGCATTTTTCAGTGGCAGCCACTGCACCATCCTGGATTGTTTACTTATGTCCTGACTTTGTGCGTTTGCGCTCCTGCATGTCCACGTCCAGTTACACATGTGTTTGAAAATGCACATTTGTTGCACAAAACTACTACAGCCGACATCAGCAGTCATGTTCTCATACAAAAAAACGGTTGTCATTGGCAATTTCGACCTTCAAAGACTTCGTACATTGCAGGAAAAGCCACATACCTCAAGTGACTTGCATGAGGCTGCGCCCGGTCAGAACATTCCACCCTCCCATATCATTGCAACCTCATCTGCCAATCACTTGTCTACCACCGAAGCCAATCACTTGTCTACTGCCAAAGCCAACACTTCACCGGTATCTCGATGTCCTGCAGTTGCAGGCTCTATGCCCAATCCATTTCCTGTCACAATGAGTCTATCTGACAAAGGGGTCATTGACAATGAAGAGGGTATGAGTCTTGCCCAGCGCAGGCCCAGACGTGAGAACTGACAGAAACCGAAGAGATTCAGGGATGTGCTCCCCCAGCCACCACCTGCTGTCTCTGTAGAAGTCTGAGATCAACTCCCGGAGTCTGCTGCAGCATGAGGTATTTCGCACCACCACAAACATCTTCAGGTTGATGCATGAATATTTCTCCTTGAAGCTGCCATCCCATGATCCGGAGGAGTATGTTACAATGGCCAACCTCTCATCCATTCCTCACATCCCTGAGGTAACTGAATCATCCCAGGAACCTCCTGAGTTGAGCAGTAATAACCAATATCATCCCTATCCAAATCAAGCCTCCTTCCAGCTTGGAGATTGGTACTGGAATCAGGGGGTGCAGAAGTCCCAAGGCGACTACAAGAAGCTGGTGGACATTGTAGGTAGCAGTTCTTTTCAGGCAGCCGACATTAGCTCCACTCACTGGAAGAGAATCAACACTGAGCTGGGTGCGAACAACTACAACAAGGGAGACGGGGAAGAATGGGAAGATGAAGATGCAGGATGGACTAGAACACCTGTTTCCATTGAGGTGCCCATGCAGTTCACTTCATTTGGCAATGCCAAACTGTGGCCAAGTACATGTACTTTGGCAATGAGTCGAAGTACTGCCATTGCAAGCCAACATGTAATTTGAGCAACCACATTGCTGACTTCGAGACAGTAAGTGTGCCCACTCAATTATTTCTGCTGCATAACCTAACGTCAGTCCGCAGCTCCCAGACTCATTTAAGGACTTTGCAGGTGGTAGAGGGATGAACACTGACTGTGCGACGCATTGTCACAGGGAATTTTTCCATGAGCAGTGGAAGGTCTTGCTGGATGATGAATGTTGCAACACCATTGTTCACAGATTTTACCCTAGGATTTTCACATACTCTGCTGATTATCTGGAAAAGTGAGTGATACCATATCATGCTTTGAAGAGTACTCATTCATATTCAACCAGAGTGTTGATAGCAATGGTCCAAAACCTAGGATGTTGTCTGTGTCCCCGCTGCCTTATACCCAAGGAGCGGATACACAATATGGGGTGGCCCATGGATAGACGACAATGCGAAACACTAGCTCGCAATGATGTGAGAAGGGGGGTGATCGTGAGGGAAGCGCGCATATTGATTTATGAGAAGGACCTTGCAGTCAGCAGTGCAGCTGTAGAATGCATTCTTAAAGAACAGTCTTGGGTACCAACCTTGGTGAGTCTGTAATTTCCGTCATTGATCAAGCTTAACCATGCCTCAGAACTCATTCTCAGATTGTCTCGGTCCCTTGGGCTTCAATATCTTCTGTGCGCTTGTGGTAGATTTGTTGCATGAGTTTGAGATAGGGGTCTGGAAGTCTCTTTTTATTCACCTATTGCAGATCATTACGGTGCAGGACAAAAGTCTCATCCATATATTGGGCCAGAGGTATGGCGTGTTATCACTGACTCTCGTCACCCTGACCATTCTATGCATAGATACAGGGCAACCCCAATGTTCGGTTAAGCTACGATTCAAAATTTTGCAGCCAACTCTTCGGATATGAAACGGATGGCAGCTCGTGATTTTGAAGATCTCCTCCAGGTATGACCTCCTCGCTATTATATCAAACAGTACCTGATTAAGTTTGTAGTGCTCTATTCCTGTCTTCGACAGGCTCCTTCCCGAATCCCATAATACGATTGTTCTCAAGCTGTTATTCAACATGGCACACTGGCATGGTCTAGCTAAGTTATGTATGCATTCTGATATCACTCTAGATATCATGGATCAAGTCACCGCAGCGCTAGGCCATCAGTTCCGCGATTTCAATGCACGTGTTTGCTCTGCTTACGATACCTGCAAGCTTTGTCAGGAGGTCAAAGTGCACAACCAACATTGTGCAAAGCAACCAGGAAAGCTTTCTGCAAAGCAGAAGGGTAAGCAGGCCGCTCGGGAAGGCCTTACTAGTCAGAATCTGCGACGCACCACGGCGTTCAATTTCCAAACTTACAAGTTCCATGCCTTGGGGGACTATGTGGTGACAATTAGGCAGTATGGTACATGTGATTCATACAGTACTGAACCGATCAGTGTTGTGCCTTTGAAATTCCAGTCATCACTGACTGACTTCCCTAGGGTGAACTCGAGCACCATTCACTGAAGGCCAGATATCATCACACAGATCGCAAGCTCTTGTGAAGCTCTTGTGAAACAGCTCACTCGCATTGAATGTTGTCAGGCCCTGCATTTGTCATATTGGGAACAGAGTTGCCCCAGGCCCACATATCGAAATCACAGAGTTAGCGACAAGTCCACATGTTCACCACCACATTGGCCTATCACAGAAGTCACCTGTACACATCAGGCTCCTTTTTGCGGTCCCATCAAGGGGACCCGGCTATTAAGGTCAGTCTATCATTCCTGCGTACACAACATCTCATAAGCCAAGGAAGAACTTTACTCCCAAACTTAAAAGTCACTTATTGTGTTGAATCAATAAATCAAGCCTTTCCCCATTCCAAGAGAAGAAACGGAGATTAACACAATCATTCTCAAGGACGATCGTATGTATCAACACAACATTGCGAGGTTCAATTATACTTCGTAGGACATTCACAGAGCTCAAGACGTCATCAATCCATGGACTACACACTGTAATGTGATGGTCCTCTGCTCTGAGGACAATTTGGAGCACCAAGATCACCGATTTATCTACGGTAAGGTACTAGGCATATATCATGTGAATGTAATCTACATTGGCGCTGGTTTTGTCGATTACACTCCAATTCAAATGGAGTTCTTATGGGTTTGATGGTACGAGCCCATGGATCAACTCTCCACCTGGGATGCTTCTACCCTGGACCGAGTTAGCTTTCCATCCTTGACAGATGAGCACTCATTTGACTTCCTTGATCCAGCAGATGTCCTCCAGGGCAGCCACATTTTACATTCTTTCAGCAGCCATACAAAACACCCTGATTGATTGGGTGTGTCAGGATGTGCATGGGACAAAGATGACTGGCGCGAATATTATGTAAATCAGTAAGTCAGAACACAACTTCTCGCACAAGTTTGGAATGAGCTCATCATCTTAAGGTTTTTGGACTGCTATATGTTAATGTGCTTTCATTACGATCTTGGAGTGGGACACGTATACTCTCACCACTGCCCCTTGCTCACTGAGTCTGAGCAAGCAAGCAGCCCAAACGCAGGACAAATTGTCCTCCCAGACAACACTGAAGTCCCCATGGACGCCGGGGAATTTGTTGAAGATGAAGACACTGAAGGTGATGATGATTGATGATGAGATGACACAGGACGGCGAACTGGAGTTTGGCTCCAGTAAAGAATCACTGGGATCTGAATTCAATGGAATGTATGGTAGTGATGCTGAGTTAGATTATGAGAACTAGAGACCCACATGATGGTGCCTTGTCTAACGCTTGTAGATGTTATCAATGGCACTGATTGTGCGTTTAGATTACACTGATGGTTGATGGCACCTATATAATAACCAATGGCACAGTAATGGTGTGAAAATAGACCTATTTGGCATACCAGGAGCGAAATTTGCTGGTATAAGTACTGGTGGTTTCATTCTCCCTGTTTGAAGAACATGTCTTTACTCGTTAACGTCAAACTGCATAGCACAGCAAACCAGGAACACGAGTACTATATTTACGATGTACTGAATGACTTGGTACTCCCCTCCTTCATGAGCCATTTCATTGTCTTAGTATACACCTGATGAACCTAACTCGCAGTTTCTCCAGGGCAAGCCAGGGAAACACGTGGACTTCATTGGCTATCTCTCAATGAGGTTGCTGCCAACGGTGTATGCTCTTTATGTACATACTATTTCGGTCTTTGCAGAATGTATTCTGCATGTCTGATTATGGATGCAGCATACGATGGAGGACACTTATGCTGTAGGTTGTTCTATCTTGTGGTCACTGTAAAACTGACCTCCGTCAAGCTCAGAAAACAGTTGTGTCTTACAGCTTATATTCATATGCCCGTGCTGCACGCCTCGCCATTCTTGACCCCCCACATTGATATTCCGTGTTACATTCTGATAGTATGCTGAGTCTCAACTTGTACACCTCACGATCTCGCTGATTAGATGTCTAGCTTGACTTCTCTGCTCCACCGTTAAGCTTGCCTTTCCTGGTGGCCGTGACTACTGAGGAGGGCATGCATGGTCTGTATAACCATGTAAGTCTACTTGCAATAGTACTCGTATCACACTTAACAATATCTTAGGTTGATGAGACAAACCCTGGTAGTTGCACTGTCATCCATATTGCACGGTACCCTACAGGTTACTGTAAGGTGACTGACAGCGACCTTGCAACATTGTCGTATATCTTTGCTACATCAAGCCAGGGGACATCGATCATCCTGCAGTCATGGATTTGCTCCAAGTCCACTCATATCATACCAGCAGATTCAAGCAGCACCATTGGATTACACCAACAGGCCGCCACACCCGTCCATTGCACAAGACACCATGTTGATCGTAGTATCTGCAAGATCATGAGGGTGTGTGTTCAGTGGTGACAGCCACTCGCCTACCTTTGTGTGTTGATGAGGATTGCCATCTGCTCTGGTGCTACGGACAATCTGCACTTGCTCGTCTGCAACTGTGTCCAAAGGAAAGAGGTAATTGACCAACTCTGGCCCCTCAGTTTGATGAGGTCACACATTGATCCTTTGACCTTGGAAATTGGTAAGAGTATATTTCCCTGATACTTCCTATACATGTTAATTCATTTGCAGTTCTTTCTAAAAAAAACCACAAAGAAGCCTATTCCTGAGAATGAGATACTGAACCTTGTATGTGTCATGTTTGATTTTTCTACTTGTCTTGATCCAGAATAGGCTTCACCATGGCTCTCGCAATGTTTCTATGATGCAAGGCACGCACTGGGCTACACCCTTGATGACTCTCATGCAGGCCTTGGCCTTGCTAATGGAATGTTTGGTGGCGCTCTGATGGACAAAATATCGGACGGCCTTCAGATGTTCCTAAGACCATCCGCATACACCCTCCCACTTGCTGTGAGTTCTGTGTATTCACATTCATTGTCAGTCTCATTATTTTTTTTCACAGGACAATGGGTTTTTCCAATTCATGCGCCACCAGGTCTGCAAGGAGATTGTGTACCATATTATATTCCGCACCACGAATACATGCGGTGTTTGATTGACTATTGCTAACCTTGAATCTGCAACATTTAGGCATGCTCAACATCCCCCATGGGAGACAATAGCGTTCGTCGCATCATTTGTAAGTGACTTCTACTAGTCTCCATGTTTTTGGTTCACTTCCGTTATTACATCAGTGTTATCAGGTCTTGCTACAAAGACTTGTCAATTGCTCGACCACTCCCGTCTCACTAGCAATGTTTCCAACACCCAGCCAAATGTTCATGGAATTTATGGAGATGGGTCCTATGCTCTTGCAACAGGACAATGATCCTCACATTCAGTCATTCAGGCAAGCTCTAAGGAATCTGTGTCTTATAACATGATTTCACTTGGAATGTGTGTTCTGTTCAACAACTAATGTGCACTGTACAGTGAGACTGATGTCCATCGTATTGCTCGGCCAAGGAACTAGCCTTCTGTGTATGTTATGCATGTAACCATTTGCCATTTATCCACATGTCACCTGCCAAGACTCGATTTTGAAATGTACATTAGTACCTGTTGCTGCAAGCCTTTGTATATACTATGATGTCACTGTATGAAATACGTCACAAATGTATTTGTCCCCTCAAAGTTTGGAATTCTGCTATACTGCATCATAGGTGTTGTGGGGGACTTGGCAAATTTATTTCCCAGCGCTGTAGGTCCACAAGCCCCACACACCAAAGAATGGTTCGAGTCCATTGTACCACAATTTCATCACTCTTAAGTAAGCGCTTACAAATTATGTACTTGTTCACTATAAATACTGATTACGCACATTACTACAGGTCTTCTTTCTACCACCTGGATCTCATAGTACCTAAAACATAGGATAGAGAACCTGAACTCTGGAGTAGATGACTTGTGAACTAAATATAGTCTGGGATGCTTTTGGCTTGGCTTAGTTATGAATTTGATAGTATAAACTATGGACGGAATATTCAAAAAATGTACAGGGCATCTAGTGCTGAACCTACTGACTCAGTGCATCAAAAACAACATGAGTTTAACACAACAGGTGCTCCACTTTGTTGTAATTCATTATTAATGATATTTTATTCAATCTAATCAACTTTTTTTATAGTTTGATCGCCATCGCCCAACTGTATAGGTTGTGTAATCATTTAACGATCATGAGAACATCCCCTTGAGTTTCCTGCTCCCTCCGACTTTAACATGTTAAATATTTGTCATTCAGGTGTTCATGATACACGTCAAATAGTCGTTACCCCCCCCACTTTCTTGGGACTGAACAGACCGAGGGAGCCCTGCTGACTTGGCTCCAGACACAGGGCCGTGACACTGTCAGTACCCTCACATCTTCCTTATAATTTTCTAACTTCTCCTCCAGCTTCCAGAATCCCTCGTTATCACAGCTTCTGTGGTGTTTGGATTGGTCGATGCCCATGATCTTATGGCTCTCATTGACATGTGCCTCAAAGAGTCACGATGCACACGCAGCTCCAGCAAGAAGAGGGGAATTGCATGGTATTCCTTTTGCGAGAAGGGCGGTGTTTGAGCTGTTCAGTAATGCTATTGCAAACTTGTGTGAAGAGCTGGAAAGTAGAAATCATCCCAGTGAGACATCCTGTTGAAAGGATCAAGTCCAAGACTAAAAAATGTATTTTCTAGTTGATTGACAGAAGCCAGCTGTAGTCAACATTGCTGTGTATGTTGGAGCATGCACAGCACATAGCTCAGTCAACATCGATTGCTTCCAGCCTACACAGGCCACTCAAGACAAATGCAATGCATGGCTTCTCATGTCATCGTCATCGCATGTTCAAGGCATTATGCAGGTTGATCCTGATACCATCCAAGCACTTCTCAATTCTCCAAAACCTATAGAAGTTCCTGATCTTCCCAATCCCTTTTGAGGGTACATGTCATTCATACTACGAGGGCGCGGCGTTCTGACACTATGCAGCCTGATGATCTTCTTTCCCTACCTGTTTTGTTGAAAACTTGGGTGGATAATGTCACATCCTGTGCTTACATGAACGCATCTTTCGATGAATTCAAGCCCCTGCGAATCATTGACCACAAGAGCTTCGAGACAAAGGAGCACAAAACTGTAGACGTACTTAAGTCTGATGTCCGTATTCTAGATCTAAAGAAGCGGTGAGCACAGGCCGAAGTGGACATGGTTTCGGAAGCCATGGAATGCCTGTCTGAGTTTGAGGGCACGTCAGAAGGTGGGCATTCAACTTGTGCTTCAGTATTCTCGCACTAATGTGACTGTAGGCAAATGCTCTGAAATTATAATGTTCGACACACATCTACCTGACAACTATCTCGATGATTTTGTTTCGGCCTCATCCTTATTTTTCTCTTCCAACAATTCTGTACTCTTGTGATCTTATTATACTACCAGTTTGTAGCAATTTCTCTCCCTTCGTTGACCGCCATGCCTTTCTCTATTGTACTGATATTCCACATATGTCGGCTGTACGTCAGACTTGATCCATGTTATTTTGCTATTATCACTTTGTCTTTATGACCATTGGCTTAGTGTTCATGTTCTTGATATACGTCCCCATGATAGTATAATAGAGCTGAGTAAAGATGAGAAATATCTCTCATTCAACCCCTGCTCTGGAAAACATACAGTCTTAACTTTCCTACAGCCGAGCGCAGTCCTCATTTAAGTAGCAAGGATTTATTGATCAATAGCTAATTAAATGACTCTGCAGGAAACTGAAAGGCAGCTCTGCATACCCAAGGTGTCTAGTGTGCAGTAGGGTTCTCTGAAACATATCAAGAGTTGACTTCATGCTCCATGTTCGCTCTGCTCCCAGTGGGCTGTCTCTGTCATATCCCATATTCCAGACCTACGTCTGATGATGTTCCCACGCCTTCCAGACGCCTTCCGGATGCACATCCGGACCTCCATACCCTTATCCATGCCTTTAGTCCTCCAGTCCACTATCGGTTCGGATCCGTACACCTTCATACATCCATATATCCATACCTCCGGACCTCTGCAGCTAAGCCTGCTTCATCCACCCTTGATACTATTGGATCCAAGCTCATTCCATCTTGGACTCTACCTTCCCTAGACTATCAGTCTATATCCACAATTCATATCCTAGTTCCATCTTCACCTATATCTCCAGATCCGCTCATCCAATATCCAGACGCCTCATCCAATATCTCCAGACCTTTGTATCCGACATATACTCATATCTGAAGCTCAAACCTTAAATAAGCGTCTATCTCCTTATGGTAATCCCCTTGACTCCGGACTTCGGTTATCTGTGTTTCTGTCTTGCTTATTGATCCTTGTACTCTGTTCATCTCCGAGTTCATTTACTTATGTTCCATTCATACTTACCAATATGTTTCCACATGCTCGTACATAGCATTTGTGTTCAGCTTACTGATCCTCTGTTAAGACCGTACTCAAGTAGTATCGGATCCGAAGGGCTTCGGCCTCAGCTCGTGTGCTGTGCCCCTTTCCCGAGTCTTGCCCCTTATTTCAGAGAGCTAAAGTATCGCGTCTAGTGAGATGGATAAGTATTGTAATGGATAAGTCTTGTATCGCAACGGATAAGTATTGCAACGGATCCATTAAGACTTCCGGATATCGAACGGATAGAGTAACGGCTAATCTGGATCGGATCCGGACTAGAAACTAACGGGTGAGGACTGTCCGAAGACAGAGGTGGATATGTAGACTATAGGAATCTATCCTAAGTCTCGGAATAGACAAGAGTAGCGTACTCAAGTCCGGACGGGTAACGGAGGGACTTAGAGTCCAGACGGAATGAGTGCAATCTAAGATGATATTCGAACTGATCTACTACAGCGCATATACAAAGGTTTATATACTACGGATAGCTAACGGAATGATCAATAAGCAAAGGTGCGAGGCTATGTACGAAAGTATAAGCAAAGTCTAAGTGGAGCGTATTGGTAAGTCGGAGGGATCACGAATCATGAACCGGGAATGAAGTACAAGTAAAAGTGGATTCGTAAGTGTAGCGGATCAGTAAGCATAGCGGATCAGTAAGCAAAGCGGAAGTAAAGGATAACCGGTATACCGGTGTACAGGAATACCGAAAGGAGATGAACGATAGTTAGAGTTATATGAACAGGAAATGAAATAAGAATCAAAGCGGATCTGTGGACCAGACGACGGATATGTTCATCGGATCTGGATCGGATCTGAGATCCGGATCATTGGATCTGTAACCGGATATATGGTATATGACATCCTCTCAGATCCCGTCCAGTATATAAACCTCTGTACAACTCCTGTAAAGTTTCCTTAGTTCGAATATCAAGATAGACTTGCTCTCTCACATCTTAGACTTCACTCATTCTTGTCTCGGACTTTGGTCCATCTTATTCTGACCTTTCCTTAGGCCTAGGGAAGGATTCCCTAGGCTGACTTTCCAGTCCTCCGGATGTATCCTTCTGTCTACATCCATGCTTAGGGATTGACTCCCTAAGCTGGGGTTTTGCCTTTCCGGCACTTCCTGTCTTTCCGAGACTTCTGTCTACTTCCTGTCTACTCTGTCTCTACTTAAAGTGTAGTCTACCTCTGTTTGTTTCTACTCCGGACCCTGTCCGTAGTAGCCTTTCTCCTCCTGTCCTAATCCTGTCCACTCTTCCGGTCCTCCTAACCTTCAGACCTTCAGACATTGTAACCTTCGGACATTGTAACCTTCGAACATTGTAACCTTTGGACATTGTAACCTTTGGACATCATAACCTTTGGATGATGTACCCTTTGGACGTCATAACCTTCAGACCTCCGGACATCCTGTCCTTCGGACCACTCCTCCTATCCTATCCTGTTTTGGACTCTGTCCATTGCAATCCCTCCTCTATGTGTTTCTATCTAAGAAGCTTACCATGGGAAGTCCTTCAGCACTCCACCAGAGTAGCCAGCCTCCGGAAGTCCTTCGGACTTCGTCGGATTCCATCCAGACTTCATTCTGAAATCAAGGGCACATACTCGGGTAAGGGGCACAGCATACGAGCTGAGGCCAAGCCCTTCGGATCCGTCAACCCTTGAGCTATGGTCTTAACAGTCTCTCTTCGCTACTTCAGAACAAAAAACGACTACTAAACCTGCTTTTATTATGACTTTCTTTTGAAGGGGCTAACTATGTTGGTGTATACATGCTCCATCAGCAGGCCCCCTGGTACATGGTCAGAATGTCCACCTTGTTTGTAAGTACTGCTATGTGCACCTTCTTGATTGCATTACTAATAGTGGTTTTAGTATTGTCCCGTCTTGGATCTGCATGAGGCATGCCCAGGCGGACATTGAGCTTTCCTCTTCAAAGTTGCTGTTCTCTGCTTCAAGTTCGGTATGCAACACGGTCTCATCGCTCGTATCATTTTACTCTGCTGTCAAGAGTACATCGCTTTCAGTACCATCTTGCTTGAGTGTTCAGTGTCGTTTCTCCGCTACCTATTCCTCATAGTGAATCAGTGAGGGCCGCCAACATGCCAAATATCTCTACTTGCTTTGCGGTGTGCAAAGCAATTTTACCAAGAGTTTGCCTGTTGAGAAAGATCTGGGAGCTGAAGGTACCACAGCTCAAAAATTGTGAATACATTGCTCATCATTTTTTCAGTTCACTGGTTGAGAAACATTACTATAGGCACTCGCATGAACAACTTGATTACAGCTGACCAGTGCTCAGTAAATGATATACATTCATCTTTTTTCATGTATTTAATTGACTGTTTATACAGGACCTAGATTAGCTGTTCTTGCAAGACACTGGGATTACTGTATCTCCTGACCCTACTATTTCAGTCACTGGACATGTCCTCCAAATGCCATAAATTCACTACTGCAATCCTGCCTCTAGTAGACTGCTGGTAAGTTCAGGACTCCAGGATGCATGGGGCACAATGATCTGATTCTCAACCTACAGCAACTGCGAAATGGTTCATGGAATGTCATCAATCAGACCTTCCATGAGCTGAAGAGTTTATCGCTCTAAGGGATTCTTAATTACACAAGGGTCAAAGATCAGATAATCAGCCAGTTCATCAACACTTTGTAGAGAACAAGATTGAGAGAGTCAACGACCAATACTGTGTGAACCTCGGTATGAAGTATGTCAAATTTCGATCTCTGTCTACTAGGTGTGCATCATTGACTAATTTGGTAGGATCAACGCCGAACTCAGAGGCACCAATTCGTTGCCAAGGTCAGGTGCGTCGGAGAAGCTCATGAGCGCTCCGTTCATGGTTATGGGTATGTATCATCCCTGTTTGGCCCTGGAGACTCATTGAAGGCTGGTTCATCTTGTACCAGTTGCTGATGTAGGGCATTTGGTATAGTTCACCAATCATCTGTGGCATCTCTCATCTATTCAGTTGTAGGTAATGGTAAGTCTGCGATCTATTCTATATATTCACTTTCATCGCTCATTGACTGTTTCCTCAAGACACCATGTCCGATTCTTCCTGAAGAACAGGTATATTGCTTAGCTACTACCTCCGTTTCTACCCAGTTTATGAAGCAGGTCTAGTCATTATATGATGCTTAGAGACAGTATCTACAATCACAACACAGACGAGTTAGCCCGTTTTGCCATCTTGTCATATCTCCTTCTCATCTCATTTTAGCCTGCAGCAGCTCGCGTTCACACTGTGCCATGCCTATGCACGTACAACTCGTTCTATCTCAATTCTGGCTCCTGTTTTTGTGAGTGATATACAACTACTATCTACCACACATACATCTAACACACTCCATCTTTCACTCAAAAATGCTGATGTAAGCATCCCATCCTGTCACGCCCAGCATCTATACTAACTATTCAACAGACCATCTGTGCACGTGGCGCATTCCACTTGAACCCTGTCATGGATTTCGACGCCATTGCCTGCTGGCTCGACCATCTTCATCCTTCTCTGTCACATTGGAGCACTAATGTCAACTTCCACCGGTGGAATCTTACCCAAATCTGAAGTACCACCTGCGTCTAACCACCACTTGGGGATGTGGTCCCTCTGTTTCTCTCCGCCCTGCCTTCAACTGTGGGAACCAACATAAAAGGTATTGCAATGGGATTTCTCATGTGGTCCGAACATTGATCTATTCATTTGCACAGGAAAAAACCTCTCTATAGGATCGTTTTCGTCCCTGCTGACACTGTACAACACCGCTCTGTATTCACTCACTTGGTACATGTACATTTTGTATATGAGCTATGGTGTGGAGCTTGATAAAAGCAGGAAAAAGGTATATTCATGAGAAATCAATGGGACTCAAACTCTGGAGCTCACGACTAACTACTTCACCCAACATTTATGGTAGCATACATACCATTAGGCTATTTGGCTGTTGTAATGTACTGTAAGGAAATATATTTAGCAGGCCACAATGGACTTCGAAGAAATCTTGTAGTTTGTGGTGCTGAGCGCTGAATGCTGGCTGAGTTTGAATATAGTCGTTCACTATATTAGCGTATCACTTGCATGTGCTTCACTTCTTCCCAACTTTCATCGTCCTTTTACCTTAAGGTTATTAGCTCTTGCTCACTGTATGGTACTTAGTCCTTACTTACACTTACTTCGGTGAATCTACTCGTACTATTGTTACTTTACTTTACCTAATTCAGATAGTGTGCGCGTCATTGTAACATTGACGTCATTTTAGCGTCACTGTATTCCAAAAAAATGCTCTGACAATGAGCTACTAGAGTTCATGATGTGTTCAAAACAGAAACAGTAAGTGTATCATCAAATACCCAATACAGGATTTTGATTGAAATCTAAATATTATCTGATAGAGCCATGTGGTTGCGCCCTCTGACCAAGTGTCATCGTTTCACCAACTGATACACCTGTAGATTTATGGATCAGGGCTATTCTCTCTCCGATCTGAACCTTCATGACCCCAGCTCAAGAGCTCTGGAAAGGAGCCAGGCGAAGTGGCACTTTCTGGAATCTGATCCAGATCGGGCACATCAACACCATCTGGCATGTGGCGCTCAATGTTGTCGGCATGGTAGTACTCTTCTAGCCATCTATACCTGTATGTCTTCACCCGTTTCAAAAGGAATGCAATATGAATTTCCGCGCTCTTTAACTGTTTGTTAAGACTGTAGCTCAAGGGTAGATGGATCCGAAGGGCTTGGCCTCAGCTCGTGCACTGTGCCCCTTACCCGAGTATGTGCCCTTAATTTCAGAATGAAGTCCAGATGGAATCCGACGAAGTCCGAAGGACTTCCGGAGGCTGGCTACTCTGGTGGAGTGCTGAAGGACTTCCCATGGTAAGTTCCCTAGATAGAAACATATAGAGGATAAGCTGCAAGGGACAGAGTCCAAAGCAGGATAGGATAGGAGGAGTGGTCCGAAGGACAGGACGTCCGGAGGTCCAAAGGTAACAGTGTCCGAAGGTTACGTCGTCCGAAGGTTACGTCGTCTGAAGGTCTGAAGGTTTAGGAGGGCCAGAGGAGCGGACAGGATTAGGACAGGAGGGGAAAGGCTACTATGGACAAGGTCCGGAGTAGAAACAAACAGAGGTAGACTACACTATGGTAGAGTCGGATAGACAGGGTTTAGACAGAAGTCTCGGAAAGACAGGAAGTGCCGGAAAGGCAAAACTTCGGTCTAGGGAATCAATCCCTAGACTTCAGAACAGAGACATAGGGGACAAATCTGAAGGTCCAGATTTCCAGCCTAGGGAATCCATCCCTAGGCCTTGATGGAAAGGCAGAACTCAGATGGACTGAAGTCCAAGACAAGAATGAGTGAAGTCTAATGTGCGAGAGAGCAGGTCTATGTTGAATGAGTGCAATCTAAGATGATATTCGAACTAAGGAAACTTTACAGGAGTTGTACAGAGGTTTATATACTGGAAGGGATCCGAGAGGATCAGTAAGCTGAACACAAATGCTATGTACGAGCATGTGGAAACATATTGGTAAGTATGAACAGAACATAAGTAAATGAACTCGGAGATGAACAGAGTACAAGGATCAATAAGCAAGATGGAAACACAGATCACCAAAGTCCAGAGTCAAGAGGATTACCATAAGGGGATAGACACTGATTTAAGGTTTGGGCTTTGGATATGAGTATAGGTCAGATCCAGAGGTCTAGAGATATGGATGTACGAAGGTGTACGGATCCAAACTGATAGTGGACTGGAGGACTGAAGGCATGGATAAGGGTATGGAGTCATGGATATAGGTATGGAGGTCCGGATGTGCATCCGGAAGGCGTCCGGAAGGCGTGGGAACATCATCGGATGTAGGTCCAGAATATGGGATATGACACTGTTCCTTGACATGATACAGCTTGGATTCTAGTCTGCTTTTAGATTCCTCATCAGTGCCTAGGTGATATTTGTCAGACCCGCTGCAAGAGTTTCTGAATCCACAAATCTCACCTGTCATCTGAGTTCCAGAGTGGACCGTTTGATGAAAATCATCTTCACCAGAGTTTCTCCTCATATGCGTTGAGGAAAGCAGCACGCTCAAGGTAACTATAAAATTGGCACTACACACCATACTGAAGAGCTCACTTTAGTGTGACATCACTGCCAACATGGATGCATTGTCGAAAACGCTTCTGAGTGGGTGAGCCTGGCATCTGAGGTCAAAATGCTGCTCTAGCCGCCACAGTGCCGTAGGGACAATGGCTATACTATCTGGGGAGATACTGCACTATCTAATATATATGGCATTAAGATGGCGAGGTATTTTCTTCATTACGGAGTCTATGGCGCTCAGATGGCGAGGTTCTTTTTTTTCCCTTCTTTTAGTTACAATTTCTATGGTGCTCGAATGGCCAGTCTATTTTTTATTATGATACCTATGGCGCTCGGATGGTGGGTTTTTTGTGCCATTAAATATTCAAGTATATAAACCGCCTTGTTTATCTCTCATATTAGAACCACCTAGCTGAACCTATGAGTGGCAACGAGAACAACCCCCTTCCAGTGATCCTTCATGCAAGCATAGCACTTCAGTGCTTCATATGGGCCCGTGTACAAAGGCACAAGTGTTCATTTTAGTGAATAAGAAATAGCTGACGCCCTTTATCAGGACTTCTTCAAACCCTCTTGTTCTTCATGGGCGACATTTTGGTCAAACTGTGTTTGCCCTGTGCAACTATCCCGCTCTTCTTACTACCGGTATACTCCGACTGGAAGAACTACAGGATTCTGCCATAGAGGATTATCCAGCAGAGTGAGTGCAATTATGATGATTATGTGCTGCATGACTTGAACCTACACTGGTACTGTTCGATGGGAGCATAGGGTTTTCATGAGTCTAATTGATTCATATCCTGGTCTTTTGGATTGTCTGATGAATGGCGAGGAGGAGGATATCATTCATTTGGGAGAATTGGTAATTTTTATATTCTTGAATATCATCATGCTCACCATTTATAGCTGGGTAAAGGAGCTGCTGGCGTGCGAGGCGACAATACCAAAACCCTTAAATCTGCTGTCCTCAAATGGCTTGTGCCTAGAGGACAGGCAGTCATACCACCTCTCTCCCGGAATATCAAGTCTGACCGCGGATTTAACCATGAGGTCACCGGTGCGTTGCTTTGCCCCGCAGGCCTTGACTGGTCAAATGCAGAGTAAGCCTTTCCACCAACATATTGACTAACTGTCATAACACTACTCAGAACCAAGCAGAGCCTAGAGAGCAGTGAAACTGCGGTTTGTGGTGACCAATGGCCCATGTTTATATATGCTGGGTATGAGTATGATCCTGAAGATTCTTGGAAGGGCTTACTTAGGAGCAAGATACTCATTTTCATAAGATAATTCTACTGGCCATAAAGTTCTAACATGGAATAATTTCCATTCATAGGGTTTTTAAACACATTTTTACATCTCCAAGCTTGGTCAATAGGGAGCCAAAGGCTACACGATCTGGCAATGCTTACCTGCACGGCATGAAATGTGTGACTCGAGGATCCCTAGCTTACGTTGCAACGCAGGCACGCAAATTTGATTATATATGCCTTTGCCTTCTGACTCTTCCTTCAGGTTTGATTTTCGTTAAGTTCATTGTCCATATTTTCACGTACAAACTCCATCATGGACTCTGAAAACTTCTACCATAGCATTCTTGACTTGTTGGAGGATCCCAATGAAAGTGAGGAAGTGACTGACCTAATGACGTGGTGGACGCAGTTCGTGACCTCCCATCCACTTTAAGTTCCAAGTTAACACCTGTCATAGTCAGGTTTTTCCAAACTCATCTTCATCGCAGCACACTATCAGCAAAAACAGTGCGCTGTCGAAGATTTGGGAAAAACACACTGCCTTACAGGAACAAGTTATGGCAAATGCGAATTAATTCTTTGTTTTCATAATTGTACTATATCATAGTTTGATGTGCTTTTCCTATGTTAAGCTATATGTGAAAAAATATACCTCAACTTGATCAGACTAAATAAATCATTGTCAAAGCTCAACTCAGTGTCATTGATAATAACTCCTGCCATCGAAAACGGCCCTTGTAATAGTAGATGTACTCAGTTAAAGACCAACATCTTGATAGAGGCTCGATAACTTGGTATCAGAGCTCGACTTGGTGTTGTTGTTGGTAGCTCCTGCCATTGAAAGCTGCCCTTGCAATGTCAGACATGCTTGCTTGGTGGAGATCACCTTGATAGGGACTTGTTAACTCAATATTATGCCCTGGCACACTGTTACTGATTATGCATCCTGCCTTCAGAATCTATGTATTTAAAGCTAAACATCCTTGGTAAAAAATCAGCAGCTTGATAAGGCAATGATAACTCAATATCATGCCTTGACACTTTGTCATCAATGGTGGCTTCTGACATCAGAAGCTGCCTATATAAAGCTAGATATACTTGGTTGTAAGCTAACATCTTGAACTAGCATGATAACTCAATATAATTTGATATCATTTCATAGCACAATGTTAGTGATTGTACACCCTGCCATTGGAAGCTGCCCGTGTAACAGCAGACATATTTGATAGTATATCAGCATCTTGATATGACATGGTAATTTAATAACATCCCCCAGCACACTGCCATTAATGGTGACTTTCACAATTGGAAGCTGCCTATCTAAAGCCAGACATACCTGGTTGAAGGCCAGCATTTTGATAGGGTATCATAAATCAATATGATTCCAGGCACAGTGTTGGTGATTACACATCCTGCCATTGGAGACTTGCTATGCAATAGTAGATACATATTTCAACAACACACCAGTGTGCTAGTACTTCACAACTTCATACCATAGGCCTATCAATATTGTAGCTTTGGGAGATCCCACCAATGTAGTCTGCCTATCTATTCCTTTATCATGTGATCTACAATTGTGATATATATTTTCAATATCATACATTAAATAAAGCTAGCTAAATCTTTGTCAAACTGCAGTTGAATGCCTGATGTCATCATGATCGGGATGACCTACAAAATCAGGTTTTGCATCTGTCCACCGCACATGAGCAAAACTGGTTGATGTTGATGTGATAAACAAGTTTTGGCTGGGCTGTAGGTAAAAGCACCAAACCAAAATATATGAGTCTCCTGCTCTCCTAGCTGCTACTCCTGCTAGCAAGAACGTTTGACCCTAAAGGATCTCTGACTAGGCTCAGGCTCAAAGAAACAGAGTGGAGAAGGTACTCCAAGTCAAGGTAAGAAAACTATGTTCCAGGAGCTATCTGGTGAGCTGAGGGAGCTACAACTAGGAAAGCTACAAACTAGGGGATACTACAAAATAACCCAAGTGAATGGGGAGCAATCAAAGAACTGGAATCAAGGAAACTAGGTAATGACTGTAGAGTCCTAGGTAAAGAGTTAAGTGATTCTGTAAGCAGCAAAAGTACGAACCTAATCTAAGGAAAAGTGTCAATAGGACCTGCATAGTGAAAAGTGCCTCTGCAAGGCTAGAGAAAGTTTGAACACCACATTGGAGAAACTCACTGCCTTGGAGAAGTTCTTGCTTGAGCTACAAGCTGCCTTAGCTGATGTCCAGCAACTGCCGCAGGAGATGCAGAAGAAGAAAATGTCCAAAATGTGGTAAATGACCATCCTGTGTTGAAGGTTAGACTTTCTTTGACCGAATAAGAGATGTATACTCACAAACACACTGTAGACTCTCGTCCATCCTTTGTTGTTCGAACTTTGTCATGACCTTGAAGAAATTGGTCCACATCAAGTTGCTGTGTGAGGTGGAGCCGTTGGTGACAGGAAAGCCTTACGAACTTTGTGACCGGAAAAGTCCTCTGAAAACTGTTTAAGAAGGGTCTAAAAATTTGGCCCTGTTTGCACCTATTAGTCCTCGAATTTGGCAACACGTCTGATTTATGTTGGATTATGAGCTAGGTACGTTTTGCCTCTGAATATTCTTCCTGTCTCCCTCGGAATAGCCTCTGATCAAATCTTGTTTCTTGCAGTGAGTGTGAAGCTTGGCGTAGTCAGAACATATGATATATTAGAACTGCCAAATTGGGTTTATGTTTTACTCAAAATTACTGCTTTCAGATCATACTACAGTTGTGGACAAGGCAAACACCACCAATTTGGTAGCCATCCAGCGTGAATTTTTGGTGCCAAACAAGGCCAGATCTGAACTCAGGGAGTGAAAATATGTCTAAAAACAGTAGTCTGAAGTTTTTCCCACGAGGTTTTGGCCCGCCAAAGTTTTGGACAATTTGAAAGATGTTGTGTACCCCTTCAGCACCATTTGGGGGTCTATATTACAAAGACGACATGTCATTGACAAAAAAAATCATTCTAATTTAGCTATGTAGACTTTATGTGTATGATTTCACCCATTTGTGGCTCAGCTGTGAGAAGTTCAGGAGCATTTGAAGGATCTTCCAGGGGTAATTACCTCAACACTTACCATTTTTAGCGCTAGAAACGGCTTGTTATTTTTGTAATATTTCAATGGAATCATGCACAGGACATCAAAAGGAAGCGATTGCCATATTTTTCGAGATTTTAGCGATTTATTTATGGTACCGCCAATATTTTGGCCTAGAAAATCCTCAAATGGGAGTTTTGGACAATCTGCTCATGCAAATCCATTGCACTGGTCCTCAATAAACATATTCTGCACTAAAAATGGGTTCCCAGTCATTTGTGGCACCAGGAAACATCAGTCTTTGGTGTCATTCAAATTTGCTGATTTTGGTTTGTCCGCTGTAGAGACTCGATCCTGAGTAGCCTCACAATGGCATATATTGCACTGTAGGTCGAGTCTACAATACTATGCATGCAATGCGACACTAGCGCGATAAACACGACGTTTCGCACGACGCGCGCGACATAGGCGACACTTTCGCGACATAGGCGACACTTGCGCGACTTGCGCGCGCTTTAGGCAAATTTTCCCGCGCCTAAGCGCCATAGGGCGCCTGACTTCCCACTGTGTTTTCCCATGTCCAACCAAGTTCCCAGGTATGCATTTCTCCATTTATCATTTATTTCAACATCGTACCATTTTGATTTTCACTTGGTACACATTTTTCATTACACATTTTTTACTTAACACAACACACATTACCCACGGACCACCATCATCATAGACAGTCACCATCTCCGAGTTTTTATTATGTTTGAATAAATCATCGCAAGCCCTAGTAGCAGTTAGCTCTAGTGGCCATATCCGCATCAGTTGTCTTATCAGCATCTCAGTACACGTCTTAACATCTCACTATCGCTCGCATACCGCTTTCACCCAGTTCCGCTTTTCGACGCGCGACTATCCCGCGCTTCGCGCGCCTATAGCGCCTTTGTTCCCGCGCTTTCGCCTCATCACGCGCTTTGCGCATTCCCCCTAGAGTTGACCAGTGGATATTTGCTTTCTCCGCTTCCCCTAAGGGACGAACATATCGCACTCATATTTTCCTCCCTTCAACAATTATATCAGCTGCACCCTCAGCTGAGTTGAAGATCCTTCACCGCAACTGTAACATGCACAGAGATTATGTAATATAATATCTTAGCTTTGAAGTACTTGCAACATTTGAGGTAGGGTTTATCGCTGGTGTTGGGAATTTCAGAAAAAGATTCATGTGATAGTTGGCGAGACACATAATCACCTACTATTAATCTTATTGGGAAGCTCAGGTGTCTAGTTTGGTGCACAAAACCCACCCATAACTAAGCCATGGCATGAGATCCACCTAGTTTTTTGCCAAAAAAAAATACATGGTCATGTGTATTATGTTGGGAGGAACCTACATGTAACATACATAAATATTCTGTGCAGAATTGCATCTGCTAGAGTTAACGTGGTTCAAGCCTTTGTTCGCAATGCTACACTGTTCGGAATACTGGATGTCTGGGACTCATTGTGCGAATTGCTCGCCTCCAGTCCAGATGTTTTAGACTACAACACTGTGGTGATTGTCTATGGCTCATATGTGGAGGGGAAGCACATAGTTGAGAGCAGAGAGATAAGCAAACACCAACCTCCGTATCGTGCGTTTGGTTACGAGTTCAGTGCATGTGCAAAGGAGGGCTGCCGTCCCACGGTATCAGATAACTGGGTATCAACAAAGAGCTTGCTGTAGTTAAGCCAATAGGGCTCAGGAAGGATGTTGTAGAGTAGCGCAGGACCAAGGCCAAAAGTATATAGGTGAAATTCCCAAGTCTTGTAGTTAGTATTGATCTTCTCAGCGATATTCCAAGGTTTTTGATCAAATGAGCCTGGAAAATATGGCCCTGCAGACTCCACTGCCTTTCTGTGCAAAATCCAGCCATCTCTGTCACAAAGGACAGCCCAGTCCCATGTGTTGCCATTGTCTGTTGGTGCACAATCCATTGTTCTGTGCCAGAGAGCAAGAAGAGGATCACTGAGGTTGCCTGTGAGATGCATTATATTGGTTGTCATACAGAGTGGAACACTGAGGCAGTGCTAGGGGCTGAGGCCCAGAACTAATGGGGTTTTGTGAGACCGGTGTCCGTCTTCTTGAGTTCATATTGGCATTGGCTTGGTGCAGTCATGATAAGCTCGAGATTTTGGCATAGTCATCAGCAACACCAAGTGGGATGGGGAATACATCAATATCGGCATGGTCACTTCCTTCAACACAGCAATCACGCAGTTTCAGAAGTGCTGGATAGTAATGAGTTCCATGAGTTTTACGCCTCCCTCTCACTCCACAATACATACAACATCCGTTCTTGCTGCTATGCCCTACCATCCCATCCCAATACATGAGCCCTGGGCCATCTGCTGTTGTAAAAATGAGATGGAGGTCTGACCTGACGATGTGGTTACGAGAGGCATCCCAAATAGTGAGAGCTTCGTGTTGGAGTGCGGTGAGATGATGCATTCCAACAACAATAAATGAGTTGACATTTTTTGGTTTATTTGATTCTGCAATAAAGCCACCAGGGCGAACATGAAGTTTTGGTAGTGCTTGTCAGGAGATAGATTAAGAATGACCCATATATAGATCCAACAATCGGATGTCTTGCTCTCGTATAGCTGCACAACATCAAGTGAGACCATCAGAACAATGTCATCCTGCTTGATCTCACCATCAAGCACAGCACCAAGAATATCAAACCCCATTGCGATATCGTCAACAACAGGCACGTTTCCTGTCTGCCTCAGACCATCTAGAACCTCCTGAGTTCTCTCCCAAAGGTATTGCATATGGAATGCACTCTCCGGGTCACGATACAGAGCCTGTAGCTGTGGACCAAGTGGGATAGTAACAAATGTTTGTGCCACGACCTTGATTTTCCACTACTCGCTCGTAACTTTGCTTGATCCCATCAAGATGAGCCACACATTGGACAACTCTCCAGATGAGCAAATGGGCCCATGAATGCTAACCATGACTCTGGGCACATGTCGTGATCGATAGATTCAACACCAGTGTGCTGGGAAATGAGCTTCTTGACATTGTAGAGAAACTGAGGATCTCATCAACACCATTCCCCACCCTCAAAATTGCGCATCATGGCTCTCCGCATTCGATATATGCCTCTTGAGAGCCATGTTCAAGCGCAAGGTACATTGCGATGCTCTGACGTGCACCAGGGCTGTTGATAATGATGGGCTCATGTGGCATATTCCACCAGTCTATGTAGAGCATTGTCACTAAGCTTGGCAAGGGGATCATCCAAAGACACATTCTTGAGTGCAAGAAACAAACTCCATAGTTTCTTTTCATTTTCTGGAGCACAGCAAGCTGTGCCAGGTTGTTGATATCAATGTTTGGTCATGGTCTATGGGCTAGTACCAACTCAATTTGGGGGCACTCATGTTCTGGAGGGAGAGGAGGTTTGTTGTCAGGAGGGAGAGGAGGTTCATTTTCGGGAGGGAGCGGAGTTTTGATGTCGGGAGGGAGAGGAGGTTCATTTTCGGGAGGGGAGCGGAGTTTTGATGTCGGGAGGGAGCGGAGTTTTGATGTCGGGAGGGAGAGGAGGTTCATTTTTGGGAGGGAGCGGAGTTTTGATGTCGGGAGGGAGAGGAGGTTCATTTTTGGGGAGGGGAGCGGAGTTTTGATGTCGGGAGGGAGAGGAGGCTCGTCATCAGGACAGGTCTTTAAAATAATGGTCAGACTTGTGTGTATTTGAATATAAATACATATCACTTGTTCAGGCTCCACAATCTTGGCCCGCTTGCATCGACCTACAAAATGTTGAGAATCTGCACACTTGTGTGCTTGTTTCACAAGTACTTGTAAGGTGACAGCACGACGAGCGCCATCTGATAAGGACATCTCGCGGGCATCATCTGCAGGAATAGCCTACAAGACATCAGTACTAGGCACTGGGTATCGAGAACTGCCTGGGCCTGAGGCTTGTGAAGGAGGATCTGAAACAGTTAGCACTTTCAAACCAAACGCCTTCACAGTGTGCATCTTCTCTTTTTCTTCCTTGGTGGTTGCTTCATTGAGATGGTGGTACTGGGATGTGTATGAGACTTCGTGAGGCTGCCCATGATTATACTTGGTGCAGACACAAAGAAAACGAATGCCAGCCTGGTCGATATCCATTCTAGATCTAAGTTAGATAGGTAAATAACAGCCGAGAAGGCTAGTACATACAATACTCACCTGAATTAACGAGAGCTTTCCCTCCAGTGTCAGCACCACCTACTAGTAGCACCAAAGAGAGGTACTATGCAAGGTGAGCAGAGTGTGGACAAAGGCACAACAATATGAAGTTTGCGTTGCATGCAACCTTACGATGCGAAGTTGTAAGAAAATAACGATAAGCAATGTGCAATGCGAAGGAGATCTATGTATATCTCAAATAAGCACTTTTCAACACAGTACAAAACAGGTATTTCGTATTTCGACATCTCTGGGCCTTTCCCATCAGAGTCTGTTTTCACTGGGTTTTCAACCATGGTGCTTGAGGTTATGGGTGGCAGTGCTCACTTGGGTAATCCCAAGTTGGACTATTTTCCTGTGTGGTTGTGTGGTGGTTTGTTTGGCGCTGAGGATTTGTATATATCTGTTTGATGTTCAACTTTTTCTTCCAACTTCTCAAGTTCCCACCACATAATGATGTGTTTCCCTCACAAGGGAGTGTGCTATGGAGTCATCCAGTCATCTATGCACCATGTTACCTTCTCCTGTCAAGTAGTAGCAATCCAGGCAGACATGACTGGTTACCTGTGTTCATGTATTCATTTGTTTGATTGTTTTTTAGGCGAGGTGTTGCTGCCCAATTATCACTGAGGCCATGGTGGTCTTGAGTTTCCCAATGAATGATATGTTGCCTGCTCTTGCAGCCGCCTCCCTACAATGTTGATGTGGGAGCTGGAGTCATTCAGACATGTGCATGCTGCCTTCACTTCTCCTGCCAAGGGAAGCCAGGACCTGGCTGTCAGGCCAGGGAAGTTGGAACCCAATTTTCATCAATAGAGCATGACTCTAAGTCCTATGCTGAGTCTAGCCAGGCACTACAAGGACGAACAGGGGTCATGTGCTGTTAATAAGGGATTTTTTAGTGATGTTTATTGTCTGTTGGTGCGATGCCACTATGGTAGACAAAACATACTGTGAACTGCCATGTACTTTTTACCAGTTATGTGATGTCCGTGTGTCGGTCTGAGGATAGTTAAAGGCGATAGGGTATAGGTGTGTTGTTTAAACTCCTTTCTCTTTGTCATCACGTTCTTCTGCAAGTGGTGTGACGTCCCTGGTGCTATGGATGAAGCGGAGCAATGGTTTTTTTTAATGCATTGTCTGTTCAATGGATTCTTTGATACAAGTCTTCAGTGTGAGAGTCACGTGGTATCCTCAGGTGCTCCTGGGACTTCCAATACATTTTTTTTGTGAAGAAATAGGCCTCGGACACCGGAATCGAAGTCCAAAATTCGAGTGATGCCACATCTGGTTTTTGACTTCGACTTTGATGTCTCCTTGCACCGTTTGCATCGCAGTTGTGCACCAAGAGCTGTTTCTTTATGGAACATGCCATGAAACTCCCTGGGTCCTTTGCTTGTCCAGCTATCCCAAGTTGTGCCTTTGTAAGACCCAAATCTAGGACACTGCAAGTTGTTAGCAGAACGGAACACCATATCGAATGTCTTGAGATGCTCGACAATCTCCAATTTCCACTGTAGCGAAACTGTGGATGACATTGGGTTGTTCACATGTCTGCATGTCTCATTCCATGTGCTGACACATTTTCACTAAAACACTAACCCACTAACTAAGCCTATACACATGGAGAAGCACGCGAGGTTGACATGTGCCATCAGGATGCTATATAGGTCTTCCAAAAAGTGGATTGGAAACGTGTCTCCGTTGTGTGTCACGTGAATGTCCATGCTGACCGAAAGGCAGTGGAGGTCCACAGCAGAAAAATTGGGATGGTTAGTGATGTCGAATTCTTGTGCGAGGGAAGTGATAAAATCTGCCAATGCAACTCCACCGAGGTGAGTTGACGCCTCCGGAGCATGATTTAAAATGAAGTGACATTGTATGGTAGTGTCTTGAGTGAGTCATATACCACCACGCTTAAGGACTCCAAAGATGGCAAGGATGTGATGACTTCCATTGCAGTGGGTTGAAGAGGCGAGGCTGTGAGATGCTGAAGCGAGTGAAACAGATGGAGAGATTCTTGAAACTCTGTGTTGTCTGAGTCATCAATGTTCAACATTGATCAAAATTAGATACAAAAGGCTTGAGCTATGTACATATGACGACTGGTTCTCAATCAACCATTTTTGCGAGACATGCTTGGGTATGAGGTGTAGCAGGGGGTCTACAGATGGTCGCTTCCTCCACAATGGCGGGGATCAAGACGTGAAAAAAGGTTTTATTGACGGTTAGCGAGAGGGATGAAGTCACTGAAGTAGCTCATCTCGCGCTTGCTCGTAGGTGTACTTGAAGATTTCAAGTAGGATGTTGTTGTGGAGGCGGAGCATTTGCAACTGGTAAGCGGAGGAACGATGTATACTGTGAATCTAATGTCCTAAACTCTTAAGAGAGGTGGACGGCAAGGCGCTGTGACATGGAAGGCATCAATTGAGGATTGTCAACATCTGTATATGAACATATACTCACATGGCAACATTCAGTACTGACTTGGTGGATATGAGTGCTTCTATCATGACAGTAGAAGGATTGCTGTCGGAACAAGCAAGTCCGAGGGGCATGGACATATTTGAGATTTACGGCACAGTAGTTGCAAGAAAGTCCGAGATGTGCGTCACAGTACCAGCCGTTCAACTAGCATTGTGGTTCTATGGCGAGGAGAGCCCACACAATCGAATTTATGGATGCCATGTCCTGTGGGGATATGCACAGGAGTGTTGAGAGAGGGAGAGTGAGTAGCAGAGGGTTGAGAATCGGGTTCAAGTGCATGCTGTGAGGAGGGAAAGTGTCTACAGCCAGGTTTGTCTTTTGGGAAGGATGACTAGTCTGAATTACAGACTAGTGATTGGTTGAATGTCGATGTTGATGCATTAAAGCATTAAGTCGGAAGTGGTTGAGAACCATACTATCAGTTTTCAACTTTGGTCCACCACTGATTTGTGCAGTCACATCCGCAGCAACAGTATCAGCACCATTCAGCATTTGAGTGCATGGGCCTCAGGATGGTAACGACCCAAATGTCCTTAAGATATGGAATTTGCACGATACATTCAATCAAAGGATTATCACTTCATGGTATGCAGTTTTGTCTTGAGACTTTTTTCAAATCGACATCTTATAAGTCCACAAAGTCGAACCTCCAAATCTATGTCTCAGAAGTCGCTGAAGTGGAACTTCCAAATCTATGTCTTACAAGTCGCTGAAGTAGTCACAACCGAATTACCATTACTAGTATCTGATATTTATTCATGTTTAATAATGATCGCTACACGGTCTTCCTCCAGTTAATTCCTGTATACAGGCAAAGATCAGGGAGAACACATCAGTGTCCTAGTTTGAAAGTTTGTCTTGGAGGACTGAGACAAGTTGTTTGAAACCCATGCCAGTATCAACATGCTTGTTTGGGAGTGGCTCAAGCAAGCATGTTGATACAGGCATGGGTTTCGAAAACTTGTCTCAGTCCTCCAAAAAAACTTTCAAACTACAATACCGATGTGTTCTCCCTGATCTTCACCTGTATACAGGACAACCTTACTATTGATTATCAACTTCGGTCCACCACTGATCCAGGCAGTCACATCCACAGAAAACAAGCATCCAGTATCAGCACTGTTCAGCATTTGAGTTAAACAACTGCTCAGTCCTCCAAAACAAACTTTCAAACTAGGACACTGATGTGTTCTCCCTGATCTTTGCCTGTATACAGGAATTAACTGGAGGAAGACCGGTTGTAGCGATCATTATGTAAATGAATAAATATCAGATACTAGTAATGGTAATTCGGGTTGGACTACTTCAAGTGACTTGTAAGACATAGATTTGGAGGTTCGACTTTGTGGGCTTATAAGACGTTGGTTTGGAAAAAGTCTCATCAAGACAAAATTGCATACCATGAAGTGATAGTCCTTTGATCCAATGTATCGTGCAAATACTGTTCTGTTCTTGAAGTTTGAATTCCTCAACCCAATAATTGTACAAGAAGTATGAGAAGTAAAAGTACATTCCATTGCTAGACGTGTGGCATGGGTTATAATGAGTGATTTCTGTAAACCAAATAAAATGACGATGACCCAAGCTAATCTAAAGCTGCGATAGATCTTGGATCCAACCGATCAATGTCAAAGCACAACAACTCTGCTTGCCCCTCAGTTACAAACCTTGGTGTCTTGAATGAAGTGCCGTATGCTGGCCAAGTCTCGATATCCATTGACTATGGGTGGCAAATGTGCGTGGATCCCTATTTTTTATCGCGGCAATGGCCTCATGACCATGTCTCCAGGCTTGCCGTCCATTCTCCTTGCCACTGCATGTACTTGTCAAATACATCAATGGGAGGCCATAAGATATGGTTGTCATCGTTAGGCCTAATAGGGTATTGATGTGGGCATCCGTTACCATGTCGTCAACATCGGTGCCGATACGCTCGAGTTTGAGTGCATAGAAGCGTCGCTCGAAGGTCCAGACAGGGCAGCCAAAATTAGGTTGTCTGGTCCAAATTGGATTGCAAGTCGCCACAGAAGACCACCCATACCACAGAAACGGCGGCTGAATGGGAGTCGGAGCATATCCCTGACACTGTTTTCATACCACTCAAACTCTCCGTTGCCCCTTGTGAGCAAGAGAGTTTTTGGTCCAGATAGGCGGGACGTGGACCTGAGAGGGTACTCAGTGGGCCGATGAGGTGCTGGGGATTGGCAAAGACCCACCAATCATTCTGCTGGGAGAGACAACGAATTGCGAAAAACCACAGGGGGACATCCGGATATTGTGCTCTCCATAGACGCAGTCTGATTTCAGTCCTCTTGGATACGACCAACTACCATGAGATATGGCATGGAGGAGGTGATATGGAGGGTAACAAGTGATGTGGAGAAGGCATTTTGAGGATCGCTACCAACAATGGGGAAAGTGGATTGAGGTCGTCGTACTGTGTGAGGCAGTTCATTTCTAAGATGAAGCGGGTTACTGTGTTATTGGCAGGACGGCAGCCCATCATGTTCAACCCTGCGACGCTTGTTACAGTAGAAGAGGGCAAGAACTGTAGATATCCCATTGGGAGAGACAAAGTGCCAGGAATTGATGACGGTGTAGCAGGTACGTTGGTGGAAGGTGCTCGTGTGATACGAAGGGTGCATGAATCAAGAGCTATAAATATAAAACTAAATTCAGGATTCAGAGTAACAATAGTATGTACTCATGGCGGTTTGTTTGTGGCCCGCGATGAGGAAAGGCGCTGTGATAAGAAAAAATTGTTATGACAAGCTGCCTGTTTTGAGGGAAAGCAAATGTTACTGCGATAACTTCTCCCGGACAGGACTGTGTTGACGGTTGGACTGTCGTGACTTCCCTGAGCTCTACCCGGCGAGGGGGATCTACCGCAGTGAATCAAATGTTCTTGGGGAGGTGATCAGTAACGACAAGGAGGCACGCGACGGTCAGACTGAGATGGAGCATAATCTCTATATGACAATGGCAGACGGGGGGGAGACAGTTCTCTGCGAGATGCATGGTATGATGATCCACGGGGAGGAGGAGGACAATGAACAGCATGAATGGTTTGGAACAAAGGGTGCATGTGGGCGACAAGGAGAACGATCTCGGCGATTGACTGTGTCCATCTTGCCCTTGGTTGGAGATGGTGCGTGTGACCCAGAGGTCACTTCGCCTGGCTCGATGTCAACGTCCATGCTGTTGTCCGCGATAACTCGACCACCCGAATACACCTTCTGTACCCATTTGAGGTGTTGGTGTTCAAGTTCCCTCTGCCTGTCGGCTTCCTTCTGCCTTTCAATCTCAAGGTCCTGCTGCCTCTTGATCTCAAGCTCCCTCTGCCTGTCGGCTTCCTGCTGCCTTTCGATCTCGAGCTGCTTCTTCTGGCCCTCTCGACTTCCATCTGCCTCTTGATCTCAAGCTGCTTCTGCCTCTCAATCCTCGAGCTGCTTCTGCCTTTCAATCTCGAGCTGCCTCTTGACTTCCCTCTGCCTGTTGAATCTCCTTCTGCTCCTCCATCTCCTTCTCTTTCTGTCCTGCACAACATGGCTGCTCGTGCATCAGCTTTCTCCTTGAATATTGGTATCAGCTGCTTCCTCTTTTCCTTCTTTTGCTGCTCCGTTTCAGTTTGACACTGTGGCAGCCTGCCTGGTGACGTCCAAGGAGGAGGAGGGGGACCTACTACCATATCAGACGTAGAAACGGTAGGAATTTCTTCTTGTGGCACTGCTGTAATATACTTGTAAGCGATCCGCTGAAACCATTTTTCTCGTGCACGCGCAGGGATGGGGATGCTGAGGGGATCGCCAAAGACGTTATGAGCAATGGTATTAATGCAAAACAGTTCACAAGAAATTGAATCTTGCTGAATGCCGTGTGTGAGGGTATTTCCTTGGTCTTTGAATGGCCCATGAAAACGCACAGTGAGCCACCACTGTAACTTCTGAATGAAGCTCCCAAGTTCCCCTCGGAGATTCAAAGAGTCTCCTGTGTTAAAATCAGTTTGCATCTTACCAGTTAGGGAAATGTCCTACCATAGTGCAAGGGTTTTACATTTAAAATCAATGCGAAATGCAACAAAGTGGGACATTCCGGGGATGCACACTGGGAAAAAGAGAACCTTCCTCAGATGCATTGGGCAACAAATCAAGTTTGGTTTAGCCAGTCAGATCGCATCCGTGAGCTTGGTGTCAGTGATAACGAGGTTGGACTGGTTGGGGACTAATCATCAGATAGTGGAGTGTATCATCATGTCCACGAGAAAATCCGACAACCAAGCATCATTGACAAGAATCGTGCAAACTGTGATGTACTTCTTAGGCTGGTTAAGCCTTGCCCAGCCAACTTCTTGTGGTATGGTAGATAATACATCTCTTGGCGGGCAGATAGAGGATTCATATTGCAGTCATACATTTTTTGCTCCAACCACCTATCTGCATTTTGCCACGACATTTTGGCATCGTGCACTGCATGTAGCTTCTCCCAAAGACTCAAACATTCACAGAGGCAACGGTTGATCTTTGAGTTGGGGGTGGACGATCGACCTCTTTCCTTCGCAAATGGCATCGTCAAGAGACTCTTGAAGGCTATAAAACCCACGGCTTTTGGAGGTATAAATGGTGGGAGTCGGTATTATCATAGTCGGAGTAGTCGTAGTAGAGTTTGATATCTCCCGTTCGTGGGTGAAATATGTCAGGTGACACATAGTTTCTTCAGCTCTTTGATTTCTTTCGTAATTTTTGGGTGATCTCTTTGCGCGGTTGCATTTTGCCTTTGGTGACGAAGATACGCTTCACGGCTTTCTGACCTTTGAAGGGAGGCTCTTGTCCATTCGGCCAGAATTGGCCTGGCTTGCTGCAATAGTCGACGACTGGAGTAAAGGAGGTCAGACGAGTGTTGGTAGATATTTGGTCGATGTACATGTAGGGCCCCATTTTGGCCGTGTGGTGATTTGCTCGACGTCTGCCCATGGGTTCTCTGGCCAAGATGAAGCTCCAAGGGACGTTGATCCCTTGTCATTGTCTAAGGAATGGAAATGAGGTGTTGTGAATGATGATGAGGATTTGTCTCACCAGGAGCATGATCTTCGACTGGAGGTTTTCGAGTCACAGACATGGCTGCAGGCCGTATACGAGGTGTGGGAATTCGCGGCCTTTGGCTTTCTTGAGGAGGTAGTGTTGGACCGAGGCATGTGACATGTCAGAGAGGGTGTAAGGCAATGCACAGTTTGAGAAGTTGAGGGACTGAACCATGGAGAGAAGACTCGCTGAAATTTCCAAGGAAAAGTTTAGGTTGGTTAGGGATATCAACGAAATGCTGGATGTGCGCTGGTGAGGTGTTGAAACGCAGATGGGCAGGTATTTAGAGTCAGAGTGCTTGTTGAGCGCGTGTTCATAGAGATATAAACCACTGAGAAACGACCTGCTGGAATTTCCAATGAGAAGTTACGGTGAGATTGAATGTAGTTGATGAACAAGTAACGAAGAGCTTAAGTCAAGGATTTGAGTAATCGAGGCAAGCAGAGTGTGAGTAATGTTGAGGTGCCACAAATGGCAATATTGTTGATCCACAATTCCACACACAAACGTGGATATTCCATTTCAGTGGTCTGTAGTTCAACGTGCTATAGATAATGATTATGTGGAGTCGCGGATCCTTCAACTGTGGTCGAATTTAATGTTTTGAGATTGAGGTACACTGAGAACCAACTGTGCTGAGAATGGATGGTGTTCCATGAAAGTTGTCAGAGCTGAGCAAGATCAACTCTCCAGAAAATGATACTAGGACATGTGCAAATGTGTGTGCATACAATATTTTCTCATTACTCTAGGTTGTACCAGATCTGTTACAATGATATTGGAAATGTGAATTACATGTACATGGCTACAATAGAACACGACTGCTGGATGCGCTGTTGCTGTCCATTCCAACCTACACTCATTTGGTCTTGTGCTAGCCCACCTTTGTTCCAATTGACACTGGAACATCAGCAGATGATTAGGATCAAAAATAGCGAGGTCACAGGAAACCAAGAGAGAGCACGCTACCTGACATAGGAGTACCAGCATGGTTTACACTGATTGGGTTCATGGAAGCGGGGCAAGGGGGATGGGACTGGCATTACAGTAGGCGAACTTGGGGGTGAGGTGATATGGGGACGCAGAGTTTCTGCAGCCGTCCATGGTCACGACAATGGTGTTATCTGTAGCTTGATCAATTGTAGGGCTGCATAGACGAGTCACAAGGTGAAACCGGGAAATGGGTATACCTGTGGTATATGTAGTATATGTAGGGCAAACTGCTGCAAGATAATGAATGTGAATGTGAGGAAGTCTCATACCAGAAAAATTTGAGCGAGTGCAGTCTGAACGAATGAAGCAGTTGAACGCGTCAGTTTCTCCATAGTGTTTGTGCAAATGGTTGAGCATGATCTACTTCTAGGATAACCTCTGCAATCAGCGAATACATGTAGAGTCGTACACCACTGAAAAAGTCTTTAGTACATTGACCTCTAAGTGAATGCAAGCAATGCCGGATTACAAAAAAAAATGTGCGACATGAACCTGCAACAACTAGTAAACTAGGAGGATTGAGAGGAAGGGGCAATCTAATGTTTTTGCCTGCGGTAAATGTGAGCATGCGGTTGACAAGGAAAATGGTGTTTGTACGATGAAGGGATCTGGTTGAGGACCCGCTATGGAGGTGTTGTAGAGGAGATGATGGGGGGGTTCGATGAGGGAAGGCTCAGTTTGACCCGTTTATTGAGGGGAATGATGTAATAAATGGTCATAAGCCATCCAACGTAGCAGGAAACCCTTTGAGCCATTTGTAGATGGATTCTAACAGGAGTTAATGAGAACCCTAGAATGTGATGCAATGAAACACTGACCGAATCTGGGCTGCAGTCGTCCTGTTTTAGCACGAACATAAATAGCTCAAATGCGACAGGGTTGCCATTTAGTCGAATCTCTAGAACCGAATGACTCTTGAACTGTGCTGTTAAATGTTGACAAATCAAAGCCTTGGAGTACCTTGGACAATAAGTGTTCTGAATGTCTGATGCAGAACTGCTCGAGCAGTAGCCTGAATGTAGACCCAGAAATGAACGGTTCTCTGAGGGTCCGGGCATCAAAAAATTGGGTCTAGTAGGTAAATAAGAAGCGAGAAAATGAACTAAGAATTCACTTACTCTGTCGTGGAGTTTATCATGTTCAAGAAAGTTGCATTGAGGTCATTGATCGATGAGCATGAGCATACGTTTTCGAGCCAGTCCTCGACTTCTTTGAGGAGGGCTTTGAGAAGAGGCTCTTGATCAGACTGAACAGACGAAGTCAATGAGGATCGACACATCGCGATCAGCAATGACATTGTGCCATTTGGACACAGAAATAAATGTGTCACAGAGGCTTTGTTGAGAAATGGGAAAATGTTGTGTATGAGTTTGGTGATGGTATATTTTCACTTTCAATACTGAGGGGTCATCCTGACGGTTCATGCTCGCGCTTGCGCTTTGAGGTTGTCTTGAGGAATTCTGGAGTTAGAGGACATCCTGTGCATATCAATTGAAGGCAAAAGACTCAATGGGTTGGACTTACATTTGTGGGTTGGATGATTTGGTGAACAAGAAGGGTGTGGTGTCACGATGAGTGAGTTGTTTGGGAATTATGGTTTCGGCTTCATTCTGTATCGGTGTGTTTTCTCCTATAATTTACCCCACACGCGATTATGGTTGGCTGTGTTTGTGACTTGGAATTAAGATTCACCAGATAAGATCTACCTCTGCTTCAATATCATGAAGCGGAACTACTTCCGCATTGACATTTGTAAGTTCATGACATTCAGCTGAATCGCCTCTCAGAAATGACCCCTGCGGGTGTGATATGTTGATATTTGACAGGCATAGGATGTGGACGTGAAAACTGGTGTTGGATGGACCTCTGGAGTTTGAGGACGAAAGTTGAGACTGATGGTGTTAGATGTCAGCCTGAATGATTGTGTTCAATTAGGACAAGAAGACTATTAAGAAGGGGTCTTTGTTCTTGGCGTGCATATGGGTTTGATACATGATTGGGTGATTAATCTATGCATTCCATGTCTACCAAGGAGCAGTAGTACTGACTGTTTGATGAGAGTATGAGTGCGGACATGAAACGGCAGCGTTTGACGATGTATGATGACATCTGCTTCGAATAATTAGGGAGCAAAGGTTCGTATTTGACAAACATCGAGGTGTATTGGATAGGAACACGGTGCAATGGGAGGTTAAAGTCAAACCTGGGAGCCTCACAGACTTGTGGGACTTTAGCGACATTGATGATATTGATGACTTTGGCAACTTCAACGACTTCAACGACTTCAATGACTTTAGAGACTTTGATGACTTTGGCAACTTCGACGACTTTAGTGAATTCAACGACTTCAGCAACTTTAAATATTAGGTTTAGATACTACAGGGACTTTGGGCACAAGATCCGCTTCGAATTACGGAGCAAAAGTTATTACTTGAAGGAGGTCAAGGTGTTTTCGACAGAGGAGTAATTGCGTGTGGTGTTCAAGTCAAATGTGGCAGCTTGGAGGCTGGCGACTTTAGCGACTTCCGAGACTTTAGACATTAGGGTTAGAGGCTATGGAGCCGTTTGCAACAGTGTCTGCTTCGAGTTACAAAGCAAAGGTTTGTACGAACATCCGAGTACATTGGATATAAGGGCACTGGCGTGATAGGTTCAAGTCAAATGTAGCAGCTTGGAGACTTCCAAGACTTTGGCAACATCTGCTTCAAATTGCGAAGCAAAGGTTTGTATGAGCATCAGGATGTTTTGGATATAAGGGCACTGGCGTACCAAGGGGTTCAAGTCAAATATAGCAGCTTCGGAGACCTCCAAGACTTTGGCGACATCTGCTTCGAATTACGAAAGTAGAGGTTTGTATGAGCGTCTGAGTATTTTGGATATAAGGGCACTGGCGTGAGAGGTTGAAGTCAGATGTAGCACCTTGGGAGACTGGGACTGGCAAATTTAACAGCTTTAGCGACTTCTGAGGCTTTAGATATTAAGCTTAGTGACTATGGAGATGTTGGCCACATGCATCTGCTTCAAATTACAGAGCAAAGGGTGGTACTTGACGAACATCGGAGTGTTTAGGATAGAAGAGCAGTGCTGTGGGAGGTCCAAGTCAAACACAGTAGCTGTTTACTTTGGCGACTTCAAAGACATTGGCAACATCTACTTTCAAATTACAGAGCAAAGATGGGTAGTTGTAAATATTGGGATTAGAGACTGCAAAAACTTTGGCCACAATGTCTGCTTCGAATTACGAAGCAGATGTTTGTACTTGAGGGAGGTTGGAAGCATTTGGGATAGAAGGGCACTGGCATGGGAGGTTTGAGTCCACTGTGGCACCTTGGAGACTAGACTAGTGACTTTGGCAGCTTTAGTGACTCCTGAGACTTTAGACATTAAGCTTAGAGACTGCAGAGACATTGGCCACAAGCATCTGCTTTGAATATGAAGCAAAGGGTCATGCCCTGACGAACATCAGAGTGTTTTGAATAGAAGAGCATGGATGGAAGAGCACTAGGCCATGGGAAATTGGTATGATTGAAATGTGTTTGTTCTAGTTACTTTGGAGACTTCCAAGACTTTGGCAACTTCCAAGGGTATATGGTTAAAAATTCAAAGTAAAGTATCTGAGTCCTCTAATATTACATTTTCTGTTTCACTGTTACAGTCTCTTAATACATGATGACGACAGGAATTACGAGCAGCATTGAGAAAAAAGAAGTCTACACAGAACGGAACCTTTCCTGCCATCAACTTGGCAGCAAGGCAACAGCAGGCAGCGACTTGTCTGGCAAAAATCCTTTCATGGATACCAGAGCTTCGAGACAGTATTCAATGTGCATATTTGGCCAGGAGACTATTCCTCAAATTACAAGGAAAAGGTCTTAAAAGGGTGGCTATGAGTGTAGTATCCATTACATGCAAGTGTTGAGCATCGGAGTTGCTCTTTCCATGACCATATATAGTAAATACTCCCATGTACCCATCTGGGTATAACGCCTTACAGCCTGAGGATGTTTCCAAATAGTGGTGATAAATATGATATACACAGCATTTGGGAAATGTGTGAATCCCACCAATTTAAGTGGAGAATGATGCCCATCTGATACCATATCTAGGCAATGTAATTTTGTGCTGCCCTTGGAACTAACCCGACATATGAGTCATGTCTAGAAGGGGTCTTTGTTCTATCCTTGCCACTTTTGACAATCAAGTACCAGTAAAACCCATCTGGGCTTTTTGAGTCTGAGTTCTTGTTAGCAATATGGCGGTTCTCGAGGAAATCAAAGAGGCGAGGGAATAGGGTATGTAAATATTCGTCAATGTCACTTCTTGTCATGTTTTTGCAGCCCTTCGGTCTTGTCTGTGTCAGGTGTGAGCTTCCATTTCATGCAGCCCTTTCTATTCTAATAGACATAATTGTTGATGTCAATGCAAGTCTTGGGGGGGCACAATGAATTTAGGTACTCACAAGTCCAACGGTCACCATGACAATTGATCCAATACCTGCCTTTCGAAGGTTTGCTATGGTTTTCTTCTATACATGAAATTCAATCAACAAGTTGTAGCATTAGCACTAGTGATGGTAAGCAACATGGTTGTGGTTTTTTGTGATGGAATTGATTTTAAAGGATTCTATCACAGCCACTTCATTTGTCACATATTTTCTGACATATTCAATAGTAGGATTATCATTATTCTAGCAAGTAATGCAGTACTGAAAGACCTTGTGCCCAAACAAGAGCACAGGGCATCCATATTTTGGGTGGGAGGTGCATCATTAAGGTCTTTGTCTTTCAAAAGCCTACAGATATATCCTCGTGAGTTTCATAAGTATTGATTGCCCACTCTGAAGCGGGAAGAAATGTATCATCAGGCTTCACACCTGCAGATTGCACATCAGCGAGGGCTTGGTGGAAAATGACCTCTGCTTCAGGAGAAGGGAATGGATTTGAGTTGTCTGGTACAGGGACAGGCTGGTCATGAAGGTTTGACTGCAGGTCACTGGCAATCTCATCTTGTAAGGTGGTTTGAGTTTGCACATTGGAATCTTCTTCATCAATGTGAGACAGTGGTGGGCCACCAGTACCATAGTATCGGGTAAGTATATCAGGGTGTACATCATGCAATGGATTGGTAATATAAACTCTGTTCTCAATATCAGGGAGCAAACAAATATCCTAGTGAGAGTAAGCAGAAAAATTGATGCGAGAATTCCTCTACTTACCAGTGGAGATTGGTGCTGTGTTGTTGGACCAGAGATTGGATGATGGTTCCATTCCTCCACAAAAATCTCGCAATCTATGTTCACGAGATCAAGAAAAAGAAACGGTAGGAGCCATAAGTGGTGGGGATTCTTGCGAATTAGCCCATGAAGGCGTTCAAGGCATGTGAAGAATGCCTTCCATCATCGGGCAAACTGACAGCCAACCTCTACCCAAAGGCATTCAATTCTGGTGTTATGGGTTGAGCTATGGGAATTAGAAGCCCTCCCACTAGCTTAGAAGACGGTCACTGCAACTCACAATCCCCATAAGAATCAGCCATGGTTTGGACTGTGGTGCATCACCATCCAAATAGAAACCTCAATATTTTCACCCCCTTGATCTCCTCTCATCCAAAGAGGTATTCCATGTTTTTCTATTGTTTGTAGAAATATTTCTAGGGCTGTCGAAGCACGATTATTGTTTGCTCAAAGAGCTACAATCTAAAATTCAGTGAGTTCAGCAAATCAGTAATATAAAAAATAACATTTTGTTTGACAATACCCGTCAACAAGTCCATGGAAATCCCCCAGAGGATGAGTTTGTGATGCCTGTCTAAATGCCAGATATGGTTGGACCATGGCACAGCATATTTCCGATGCTGAATCACTTTGCGTCACCGTAGCATCTGGCCCACACCATCAACTCTATGCATTGAGCTCCTCATTCGATGCCGCGGAATCCGAACACTGTGGGATCGTAGAAAGCCGACTAGGTAATGCAGGCCAGAATCTGGTTTGTGGATTTTGAAGGTCTTAACAAGAACATCAAGATCAGCATTGCAGATTGCTGAGAATTGCTGATGCACATTAGTTTGAATGTAATTTTTCATCAGGGAGAGAGTGCATCTTCAAGCCAATCACTGTTGATGACTTTGCGAGGATGTCCATGTGTCTGGTGAGGTGTTGTCTCCATACTGATGGGATTGACCTTGGCATATCTAGAATTTGCACTATACAAAAAGCTCATTAAGATTGCTTTTATGCGACGTGCCGGGAATTGTAGGGGACGATAGCCTTCCAACATAATAGTACCAAACCCAAGAGAATTTCCGTGTCAACTAGTAAGTGTGACACATAAACCGTCAGCACTTCAACAGTTCAACTGTGTTTTTTTTCATGTTCTTGACCTTGTCGATGCTTGATTTCTAACCTACTGCAATGACTCGGAGCTCAGTAGCACCCGGAGGGATACAAAGGTAAATGTCTGCTTCCCAGTTGTCTACATCTGAATTGAATGTATTCACCGTGACTGCCATCAAATAGACCAAACATTCTGCAATGCTCGGCAGCTCATTACTGTAGTGAATTTGTTGTTCTATAGGTAAGTTCTACATGTGTAACTATTGAATCATGTCCTAACTACCCCGTGGCCATGTTGGTTCTCACTAGGTTCAATCACAGCTCCATCATGTTCCAGCTGACCTTCTTGCATGATGGTCCCATGTGTTTGTGAATCTATTCTCGTTGCCTCGCACTGGCATCCGTCAAGATGAGGGCTGTTCGGATGAATCCCCAATTGTATTGCATGGTCATTCCAGTGCTGACTTTGATTGTCTTACTATTGAATCACTCAAAGATTCAAGAATTCAAGCTGATACTATGAATGAACCTAGTCCAACAAACACTGAATCTGTGCCCTTTCTTATCTCACTGCTTAAAATGGGTGCCATCTTCGACATCAAAGTCGCAAAGTTGCATGCCATCCATCATCTCCAAACCCATCCAGATCTCCATCCAACAACAAAACTCCAGCTTTGCCACTGCTTCAGAATCATCGCATGGCTTTCTCCGACATTCAAGGCACTGGTATGTCAACCCATTGAAAGTCTTGATCCATCGGTATTAGCACAAATTCCCACTTATATCTTGCATGCTCTGATTCAAGTAAAACAACCGGATTATGACGCACAGGTTAACACTGGCGGCTGTCACAGTGGGAGGGGGAGATGTCCATTTCAAATGTCAATCGAGAACTTGGTCAGAAATACCAAGGTCTTTCTTGTTTGCATCAACATCACCTCCACTAGTGTGCTCTTGCTGTATATACTATACGGCAGGCCTTGAACTTTTCAAGCGCTTGATTATGTCAGTAATGCACTTGCTCCGCCAACACACATCCCTCCAAAATTCACTGTCGCCAGATGGATGATTCTTCTTCCCTCCAGAAGAACCCATTCCTTCTCGCTTGTAATACATAGCATAGTGCCTCACAATTCGTGACCTTAACCAACTCTACATGCCCAAACTCTAATACGTGGTAAATTAACTCGCAATAAGTGCTCGAAGTTGTCAAAGTTACAATGGTCGCTGAAGTCCTCAACTTCCAAATATGGATGTCTCGTAAGATGTCATAAAAGTCTGTCTTGCACTCCCTTTACTCCAACACCATGTCTTTGGCTTCTACTTGCAAATTCCAGTTAGTCACACTAGCACACTTCTCAACTCAACACCTGTGTTGCAATTCAATACATTGTGATGTCCCGACACAATGCAGAGTCTTCCAGCACTCTCCCCCAACATCCAAGTCTGCCCGCCATTCCCACAGGCCCACCATGCTAGCGCTCTCCTCGTGCAGCCCATGCCTTGTTGACTCCTGCAAGCAGTGAGGTGTGTCATCGCTTGGATAGGCTGGGAGGAAGAGGATTGTGACCCAGGTGTTGAAAATGAAAGTGTAGATACCAGACAAAGCTCTCAATATGTGAAAATGCGCAAAGTGGGATGGACCTGCATGACTTTGAGGACATAATATATATTTTGACTATGATTTTAGGGACTTCCAAGACTTTGAGGACATAATATATATTTTGAATACCACTTTGAGGACTTCCAAGACTTTGAAAACATGATTTAGATTTCGACTATGACTTTGAGGACTTTGAGGACCTACTACATTTACATTATGCTTACCAAGTTTCTAGCTACAAGTGGAATTCCTATCATAAAACACTTCTGACATCCTCAGCCGTCCACTCCTGATTGAAGCCCACAGTAGTGCAGAGTTCTTATGAAAAAACATTACATAAATTCTAGTCTGACGCTGTTAAACCACAATCGAATTCACTTAAGACTCTCATCTCATCCTAAACTCAACGCATTAAACTACCCTCTCCCAACTCGTTCCAAAAACACGTCTGGCATTATCTTGATGAGGAAATTCCTCATTGAAATAACATGGTACAGCTCAAGCAAACTGAGAAGAAGCCAAGACTTCAGCACTCCAATCTCGCCAATTCAGCCTTAACTCCCAAGGAAAAGCAATGTGAACAGCAAAAAAGATGGCTTGCCAATGAGAAATGCAATCCACACAGTGCTCAAGAGATGAAGGAACAGAACACCGCCAACAAATGGGCATGGCAAAAATGCAAGAGAGAGGAAATGCAGAGCAAACAGCACACGCCTGACACAAACTCCCAAGGCCACGCCCCTCAAAAGCAGCCTCAGACCTCATCTCCTGAAGCGCCTTCAGGTCATGTGGGCCCATCCATCTCAGAACCCGACACCATCCCCATCGGCCCCATCCTCCTGGCACAGGAGACCCTCACAACCATTGTGACGCCCTGCCAAATGTGTGACATCGCCGTCATGACAGACACACCCAGCCCTCCCGTCAATTGTTCCTCCATTCCAGATGACCAAGCATACCCCTCACCCACCTTGTCTGCACTCACCGACCTACAGTTCCGCGATCTGGCAAATCCTATCATTGGCTCCCAAGTCCATGAACAATCAGATACCGTTCAATGGGACGATGGATCTACCACTGTGCTTCCCTGCATCATGAAGAACGGCATAAAGATATGCAAAGAAGACGCTCTTGCAGTATCGTTTTTTTGCTTCACTCCCAGAATCGCTTCCCACGACCTCAAAAAATGTCGTCCACTTACAGCATAGTGATCAGTGCTTTACAAGCTGACAGTTATGCGACAAGATATCTGCAGCGCTTCGCATCAACAAAGCCGTTGTCATTCGGCAAGTGAGCACACCCAAGCCTGCAACGCTTGATTTAGAATACCTGGAAGATCATGGAATGTCAGACCTCATGTGTGTCATACTACATGGTGAGTCTGTCAACATCCATCTTGTTTCTCACCTAATGTAATGCTGCTAAGCAGACGCTGAACAATGCACGAAGGATTTTACATATCCCCACCAGAACGCAACACTTGCAGAATTCATATGCAACATACACGACCCCAACAAGATACAATGTATACTCGACGTTCCATATGGACAGGGCGGTCTCCCGTCATATCTGAGGTGCGTACCGTACCATCGCACGCCATTACAATACTAACCCATCCACACCTAGTACTCTCGACAGTGGCATTACCAATGGATGGAATCAAACTGTCATATCCCGTATTCCGGACCTACATCCAATGATGTTCCCATGCCTTCCGGACACCTTCCGCATGCACATCCGGACCTCCATACCCTTATCCATGCCTTCAGTCCTCCAGTCCACTATCGGTTTGGATCCGTACACCTTCGTACATCCATATATCCATACCTTCGGACCTCCGCAGCTAAGCCTGCTTCATCCACCCTTAGTCCTATCGGATCTGAGCTCATTCCATCTTGGACTCTACCTTCCCTAGACTATCGGTCTATATCCATGATCCATATCCTAGTCTCATCTTCACCTAGATCTCCAGATCCGCTCATCCGATATCCAGACGCCTCATCCGATATCTCTAGACCTCCGGATCTGACCTATACTCATATCCAAAGCCCAAACCTTAAATCAGCGTCTATCTCCTTATGGTAATCCCCTTGACTCCGGACTTTGGTTATCTGTGTTTCTGTCTTGCTTATTGATCCTTGTACTCTGTTCATCTCCGAGTTCATTTACTTATGTTCCGTTCATACTTACCAATATGTTTCCACATGCTCGTACATAGCATTTGTGTTCAGCTTACTGATCCTCTCGGATCCCTTCCAGTATATAAACCTCTGTACAACTCCTGTAAAGTTTCCTTAGTTCGAATATCTATCTTAGACTTCACTCATTCTTGTCTTGGACTGTGGTCCGTCTTAGTCTGACCTTTCCTTAGGCCTAGGGAAGGATTCCCTAGGCCGACTTTCCAGTCCTCCAGATTTATCCTTCCATCTATATCCATGCTTAGGGATTGACTCCCTAAGCCGAAGTTTTGCCTTTCCGGCACTTCCTGTCTTTCCGAGACTTCTGTCTAAACCCCGTCTATCCGACTCTACCATAGTGTAGTCTACCTCTGTTTGTTTTTACTCTGGACCTTGTCCATAGTAGCCTTTCCCCTCCTGTCCTAATCCTGTCCGCTCCTCTGGTCCTTGTAAGCCTTTGGACCTTTGGACCTTTGGACATCATAACCTTTAAACGTTGTAACCTTCGGACGTTGTAACCTTCGGACATTGTAACCTTCGGACGATGCAACCTTCAGACATCTTAACCTTTGGACCTCCGGACGTCCTGTGCTTCGGACCACTCCTCCTATCCTATCCTGCTTTGGACTCTGTCCCTTGCAGCCTATCCTCTATGTGTTTCTATCTAGGGAACTTACCTTGGGAAGTCTTACCTTCGGAACTAATACAGTGGATGAAACTCCTCCGGAAGTTTCTCGCACTCATCCAGAAGTCCTTCGGACTTTGTCAGATTCCATCTGGACTTTATTCTGAAATTAAGGGCACATACTCGGGTAAGGGGCACAGCGCATGAGCTGGGGCCAAGCCCTTCGGATCTGTCTACCCTTGAGCTATGGTCTTAACACAAACCACAGTCGATTGCCCCATCAGTGACAAAGCCCATCTGGACAACTTCATTGTACATTTGTGGTCTTTGCTCCACAGGTCCACGTATTGGACAAATCCCCACCATGATTCTGATGGCAGCATGACCTTTGTTCAAATTGAAACCGGTGAGAAAAAATGGGGCCTATTCAAACCAATCCACAAGGACACGATTACTCGGACCAACCTCTCCGACATAGCCTTAACATTGACCGATCTCTACCAAAACTGAGCGAATATCCAGGACAATTGGCATGGAGAAATTGTCACTCTCTTGCCAAGTGACATGCTGTGAGTGCATCATGATATTATATCGATTTGGACTTATATTTGGGAGTATACAACCGGCAGGACAGTTTCATGCACTTTACACACCTGTGGCTTTGTTTGCCACCGGGGGGCATTTCTACAACTACGAATGCATGCATTTAACAGAACTTTCTCATTACATAGACCATAAACAAGGCAAAATCCTCACTAACCAAGTACACGCACACTCCTTACCCGCATGAAGTCGCAGGCTTGTAATGCTATCTCCAGAGTTATACAACAGGCCCCTCATCGCCCTGTGCACTATGGTCTTGGAATGCGATAAATATGTGGCTGCTGGCACCAAAAAACCAAAAGTGCGATCGAGCACCACTCAACCAGCGCACGATATTGCAAATACCATCATCAAATATTTCTGGAAGGACTTGAAGACGGCAACCAAGACATATCGCAAGAAGCAGACGGACGGGAGCAACAGCCAAATGCATCCAGGGGAACCCATCAGTAGAGAAGAACCGTTGACCTGCCTAAAGTGCTTTACAACATTGTAATGTTGTCTGATTCATTTACATACCTTCAATCTCAGAGACTTCATATACCCACACTCCTACAATACCATAACATCAATTTGACTTCTGTCGCTTAGAGGACTCTATGGACGCTCGGACTTTGGGGCATCCAGCAATCTCCTGGACTCGTGCTTGTTTAAGTAGTGCTCTCCATTCATACATAACATTTGCATAGATATGGCCACTGAGTTAAACCTCAATGTTGCATTTCGCAAAGCCTGCCTAAGTACAAATATTGACTTGTTAAACGAGTCAGACATGACTCATATGTCGGGTTAGTTCCAAGGGCAGCACAAAATTACATTGCCTAGATATGGTATCAGATGGGCATCATTCTCCACTTAAATTGGTGGGATTCACACATTTCCCAAATGCTGTGTATATCATATTTATCACCACTATTTGGAAACATCCTCAGGCTGTAAGGCGTTATACCCAGATGGGTACATGGGAGTATTTACTATATATGGTCATGGAAAGAGCAACTCCGATGCTCAACACTTGCATGTAATGGATACTACACTCATAGCCACCCTTTTAAGACCTTTTCCTTGTAATTTGAGGAATATGTCTCCTGGCCAAATATGCACATTGAATACTGTCTCGAAGCTCTGGTATCCATGAAAGGATTTTTGCCAGACAAGTCGCTGCCTGCTGTTGCCTTGCTGCCAAGTTGATGGCAGGAAAGGTTCCGTTCTGTGTAGACTTCTTTTTTCTCAATGCTGCTCGTAATTCTGTCGTCATCATGTATTAAGAGACTGTAACAGTGAAACAGAAAATGTAATATTAGAGGACTCAGATACTTTACTTTGAATTTTTACCATATACCCTTGGAAGTTGCCAAAGTCTTGGAAGTCTCCAAAGTAACTAGAACAACACATTTCAATCATACCAATTTCCCATGGCCTAGTGCTCTTCCATCCATGCTCTTCTATTCAAAACACTCTGATGTTCGTCAGGCATGACCCTTTGCTTCATAATTCAAAGCAGATGCTTGTGGCCAATGTCTCTGCAGTCTCTAAGCTTAATGTCTAAAGTCTCAGGAGTCACTAAAGCTGCCAAAGTCACTAGTCTAGTCTCCCAAGGTGCCACAGTGGACTCAAACCTCCCATGCCAGTGCCCTTCTATCCCAAATGCTCCAACCTCCCTCAAGTACAAACATCTGCTTCGTAATTCGAAGCAGACATTGTGGCCAAAGTTTTTGCAGTCTCTAATCCCAATATTTACAACTACCCATCTTTGCTCTGTAATTTGAAGTAGATGTTGCCAATGTCTTTGAAGTCGCCAAAGTAAACAGCTACTGTGTTTGACTTGGACCTCCCACAGCACTGCTCTTCTATCCTAAACACTCCGATGTTCGTCAAGTACCACCCTTTGCTCTGTAATTTGAAGCAGATGCATGTGGCCAACATCTCCATAGTCACTAAGCTTAATATCTAAAGCCTCAGAAGTCGCTAAAGCTGTTAAATTTGCCAGTCCAGTCTCCCAAGGTGCTACATCTGACTTCAACCTCTCACGCCAGTGCCCTTATATCCAAAATACTCAGACGCTCATACAAACCTCTACTTCGTAATTCGAAGCAGATGTCGCCAAAGTCTTGGAGGTCTCCGAAGCTGCTATATTTGACTTGAACCCCTTGGTACGCCAGTGCCCTTATATCCAAAACATCCTGATGCTCATACAAACCTTTGCTTCGCAATTTGAAGCAGATGTTGCCAAAGTCTTGGAAGTCTCCAAGCTGCTACATTTGACTTGAACCTATCACGCCAGTGCCCTTATATCCAATGTACTCGGATGTTCGTACAAACCTTTGCTTTGTAACTCGAAGCAGACACTGTTGCAAACGGCTCCATAGCCTCTAACCCTAATGTCTAAAGTCTCGGAAGTCGCTAAAGTCGCCAGCCTCCAAGCTGCCACATTTGACTTGAACACCACACGCAATTACTCCTCTGTCGAAAACACCTTGACCTCCTTCAAGTAATAACTTTTGCTCCGTAATTCGAAGCGGATCTTGTGCCCAAAGTCCCTGTAGTATCTAAACCTAATATTTAAAGTTGCTGAAGTCGTTGAATTCACTAAAGTCGTCGAAGTTGCCAAAGTCATCAAAGTCTCTAAAGTCATTGAAGTCGTTGAAGTCGTTGAAGTTGCCAAAGTCATCAATATCATCAATGTCGCTAAAGTCCCACAAGTCTGTGAGGCTCCCAGGTTTGACTTTAACCTCCCATTGCACCGTGTTCCTATCCAATACACCTCGATGTTTGTCAAATACGAACCTTTGCTCCCTAATTATTCGAAGCAGATGTCATCATACATCGTCAAACGCTGCCGTTTCATGTCCGCACTCATACTCTCATCAAACAGTCAGTACTACTGCTCCTTGGTAGACATGGAATGCATAGATTAATCACCCAATCATGTATCAAACCCATATGCACGCCAAGAACAAAGACCCCTTCTTAATAGTCTTCTTGTCCCTAATTGAACACAATCATTCAGGCTGACATCTAACACCATCAGTCTCAACTTTCGTCCTCAAACTCCAGAGGTCCATCCAACACCAGTTTTCACGTCCACATCCTATGCCTGTCAAATATCAACATATCACACCCGCAGGGGTCATTTCTGAGAGGCGATTCAGCTGAATGTCATGAACTTACAAATGTCAATGCGGAAGTAGTTCCGCTTCATGATATTGAAGCAGAGGTAGATCTTATCTGGTGAATCTTAATTCCAAGTCACAAACACAGCCAACCATAATCGCGTGTGGGGTAAATTATAGGAGAAAACACACCGATACAGAATGAAGCCGAAACCATAATTCCCAAACAACTCACTCATCGTGACACCACACCCTTCTTGTTCACCAAATCATCCAACCCACAAATGTAAGTCCAACCCATTGAGTCTTTTGCCTTCAATTGATATGCACAGGATGTCCTCTAACTCCAGAATTCCTCAAGACAACTCAAAGCGCAAGCGCGAGCATGAACCGTCAGGATGACCCCTCAGTATTGAAAGTGAAAATATACCATCACCAAACTCATACACAACATTTTCCCATTTCTCAACAAAGCCTCTGTGACACATTTATTTCTGTGTCCAAATGGCACAATGTCATTGCTGATCGCGATGTGTCGATCCTCATTGACTTCGTCTGTTCAGTCTGATCAAGAGCCTCTTCTCAAAGCCCTCCTCAAAGAAGTCGAGGACTGGCTCGAAAACGTATGCTCATGCTCATCGATCAATGACCTCAATGCAACTTTCTTGAACATGATAAACTCCACGACAGAGTAAGTGAATTCTTAGTTCATTTTCTCGCTTCTTATTTACCTACTAGACCCAATTTTTTGATGCCCGGACCCTCAGAGAACCGTTCATTTCTGGGTCTACATTCAGGCTACTGCTCGAGCAGTTCTGCATCAGACATTCAGAACACTTATTGTCCAAGGTACTCCAAGGCTTTGATTTGTCAACATTTAACAGCACAGTTCAAGAGTCATTCGGTTCTAGAGATTCGACTAAATGGCAACCCTGTCGCATTTGAGCTATTTTATGTTCGTGCTAAAACAGGACGACTGCAGCCCAGATTCGGTCAGTGTTTCATTGCATCACATTCTAGGGTTCTCATTAACTCCTGTTAGAATCCATCTACAAATGGCTCAAAGGGTTTTCCTGCTACGTTGGATTGGCTTATGACCATTTATTACATCATTCCCCTCAATAAACGGGTCAAACTGAGCCTTCCCTCATCGAACCCCCCATCATCTCCTCTACAACACCTCCATAGCGGTCCTCAACCAGATCCCTTCATCGTACAAACACCATTTTCCTTGTCAACCGCATGCTCACATTTACCGCAGGCAAAACATTAGATTGCCCCTTCCTCTCAATCCTCCTAGTTTACTAGTTGTTGCAGGTTCATGTCGCACATTTTTTTTTGTAATCCGGCATTGCTTGCATTCACTTAGAGGTCAATGTACTAAAGACTTTTTCAGTGGTGTACGACTCTACATGTATTCGCTGATTGCAGAGGTTATCCTAGAAGTAGATCATGCTCAACCATTTGCACAAACACTATGGAGAAACTGACGCGTTCAACTGCTTCATTCGTTTCAGACTGCACTCGCTCAAATTTTTCTGGTATGAGACTTCCTCACATTCACATTCATTATCTTGCAGCAGTTTGCCCTACATATACTACATATACCACAGGTATACCCATTTCCCGGTTTCACCTTGTGACTCGTCTATGCAGCCCTACAATTGATCAAGCTACAGATAACACCATTGTCGTGACCATGGACGGCTGCAGAAACTCTGCGTCCCCATATCACCTCACCCCCAAGTTCGCCTACTGTAATGCCAGTCCCATCCCCCTTGCCCCGCTTCCATGAACCCAATCAGTGTAAACCATGCTGGTACTCCTATGTCAGGTAGCGTGCTCTCTCTGGTTTCCTGTGACCTCGCTATTTTTGATCCTAATCATCTGCTGATGTTCCAGTGTCAATTGGAACAAAGGTGGGCTAGCACAAGACCAAATGAGTGTAGGTTGGAATGGACAGCAACAGCGCATCCAGCAGTCGTGTTCTATTGTAGCCATGTACATGTAATTCACATTTCCAATATCATTGTAACAGATCTGGTACAACCTAGAGTAATGAGAAAATATTGTATGCACACACATTTGCACATGTCCTAGTATCATTTTCTGGAGAGTTGATCTTGCTCAGCTCTGACAACTTTCATGGAACACCATCCATTCTCAGCACAGTTGGTTCTCAGTGTACCTCAATCTCAAAACATTAAATTCGACCACAGTTGAAGGATCCGCGACTCCACATAATCATTATCTATAGCACGTTGAACTACAGACCACTGAAATGGAATATCCACGTTTGTGTGTGGAATTGTGGATCAACAATATTGCCATTTGTGGCACCTCAACATTACTCACACTCTGCTTGCCTCGATTACTCAAATCCTTGACTTAAGCTCTTCGTTACTTGTTCATCAACTACATTCAATCTCACCGTAACTTCTCATTGGAAATTCCAGCAGGTCGTTTCTCAGTGGTTTATATCTCTATGAACACGCGCTCAACAAGCACTCTGACTCTAAATACCTGCCCATCTGCGTTTCAACACCTCACCAGCGCACATCCAGCATTTCGTTGATATCCCTAACCAACCTAAACTTTTCCTTGGAAATTTCAGCGAGTCTTCTCTCCATGGTTCAGTCCCTCAACTTCTCAAACTGTGCATTGCCTTACACCCTCTCTGACATGTCACATGCCTCGGTCCAACACTACCTCCTCAAGAAAGCCAAAGGCCGCGAATTCCACACCTCGTATACGGCCTGCAGCCATGTCTGTGACTCGAAAACCTCCAGTCGAAGATCATGCTCCTGGTGAGACAAATCCTCATCATCATTCACAACACCTCATTTCCATTCCTTAGACAATGACAAGGGATCAACGTCCCTTGGAGCTTCATCTTGGCCAGAGAACCCATGGGCAGACGTCGAGCAAATCACCACACGGCCAAAATGGGGCCCTACATGTACATCGACCAAATATCTACCAACACTCGTCTGACTCCTTTACTCCAGTCGTCGACTATTGCAGCAAGCCAGGCCAATTCTGGCCGAATGGACAAGAGCCTCCCTTCAAAGGTCAGAAAGCCGTGAAGCGTATCTTCGTCACCAAAGGCAAAATGCAACCGCGCAAAGAGATCACCAAAAATTACGAAGAAATCAAAGAGCTGAAGAACTATGTGTCACCTGACATATTTCACCCACGAACGGGAGATATCAAACTCTACTACGACTACTCCGACTATGATAATACCGACTCCCACCATTTATACCTCCAAAGCCGTGGGTTTATAGCCTTCAAGAGTCTCTTGACGATGCCATTTGCGAAGGAAAGAGGTCGATCGTCCACCCCCAACTCAAAGATCAACCGTTGCCTCTGTGAATGTTGAGTCTTTGGGAGAAGCTACATGCAGTGCACGATGCCAAAATGTCGTGGCAAAATGCAGATAGGTGGTTGGAGCAAAAAATGTATGACTGCAATATGAATCCTCTATCTGCCCGCCAAGAGATGTATTATCTACCATACCACAAGAAGTTGGCTGGGCAAGGCTTAACCAGCCTAAGAAGTACATCACAGTTTGCACGATTCTTGTCAGATGATGCTTGGTTGTCGGATTTTCTCGTGGACATGATGATACACTCCACTATCTGATGATTAGTCCCCAACCAGTCCAACCTCGTTATCACTGACACCAAGCTCACGGATGCGATCTGCATGGCTAAACCAAACTTTGATTTGTTGCCCAATGCATCTGAAGGGAAGGTTCTCTTTTTCCCAGTGTGCATCCCCGGAATGTCCCACTTTGTTGCATTTCGCATTGATTTTAAATGTAAAACCTTGCACTATGGTAGGACATTTCCCTAACTGGTAAGATGCAAACTGATTTTAACACAGGAGACTCTTTGAATCTCCGAGGGGAACTTGGGAGCTTCATTCAGAAGTTACAGTGGTGGCTCACTGTGCGTTTTCATGGGCCATTCAAAGACCAAGGAAATACCCTCACACACGGCATTCAGCAAGATTCAATTTCTTGTGAACTGTTTTGCATTAATACCATTGCTCATAACGTCTTTGGCGATCCCCTCAGCATCCCCATCCCTGCGCGTGCACGAGAAAAATGGTTTCAGCGGATCGCTTACAAGTATATTACAGCAGTGCCACAAGAAGAAATTCCTACCGTTTCTACGTCTGATATGGTAGTAGGTCCCCCTCCTCCTCCTTGGACGTCACCAGGCAGGCTGCCACAGTGTCAAACTGAAACGGAGCAGCAAAAGAAGGAAAAGAGGAAGCAGCTGATACCAATATTCAAGGAGAAAGCTGATGCACGAGCAGCCAATGTTGTGCAGGACAAGAAAGAGAAGGAGATGGAGGAGCAGAAGGAGATCAACAGGCAGAGGGAAGTCAAGAGGCAGCTCGAGATTGAAAGGCAGAAGCAGCTCGAGATTGAGAGGCAGAAGCAGCTTGAGATCAAGAGGCAGATGGAAGTCGAGAGGCAGAAGCAGCTCGAGATCGAAAGGCAGCAGGAAGCCGACAGGCAGAGGGAGCTTGAGATCAAGAGGCAGCAGGACCTTGAGATTGAAAGGCAGAAGGAAGCCGACAGGCAGAGGGAACTTGAACACCAACACCTCAAATGGGTACAGAAGGTGTATTCGGGTGGTCGAGTTATCGCGGACAACAGCATGGACGTTGACATCGAGCCAGGCGAAGTGACCTCTGGGTCACACGCACCATCTCCAACCAAGGGCAAGATGGACACAGTCAATCGCCGAGATCGTTCTCCTTGTCGCCCACATGCACCCTTTGTTCCAAACCATTCATGCTGTTCATTGTCTCCTCCTCCCCGTGGATCATCATACCATGCATCTCGCAGAGAACTGTCTCCCCCCCCGTCGGCCATTGTCATATAGAGATTATGCTCCATCTCAGTCTGACCGTCGCGTGCCTCCTTGTCGTTACTGATCACCTCCCCAAGAACATTTGATTCACTGCGGTAGATCCCCCTCGCCGGGTAGAGCTCAGGGAAGTCACAGACAGTCCAACCGTCAACACAGTCCTGTCCGGAGAAGTTATCGCAGTACATTTGCTTTCCCTCAAAACAGGCAGCTTGTCATAACAATTTTTTCTTATCACAGCGCCTTTTCCTCATCGCGGGCCACAAACAAACCGATGCCATGAGTACATACTATTGTTACTCTGAATCCTGAATTTAGTTTTATATTTATAGCTCTTGATTCATGCCACCCTTCATATTCTACACGAGCACCTTACACCAATGTACCTGCTACACCGTCATCAATTCCTGGCACTTTGTCTCTCCCAATGGGATATCTACAGTTCTTGCCCTCTTCTACTGTAACAAGTGTCGCAGGGTTGAACATGATGGGCTGCTGTCCTGCCAATAACACAGTAACCCGCTTCATCTTAGATTGAATGAACTGCCTCACACAGTACGACGACCTCAATCCACTTTCCCCATTGTTGCGTAGCGATCCTCAAAATTGCCTTCTCCACATCACTTGTTACCCTCCATATCACCTCCTCCATGCCATATCTCATGGTAGGTTGGTCGTATCCAAGAGGACTGAAATCAGACTGCGTCTATGGAGAGCACAATATCCGGATGTCCCCCTGTGGTTTTTTCGCAATTCGTTGTCTCTCCCGCAGAATGGATTGGTGGGTCTTTGCCAATCCCCAGCACCTCATTGGCCCACTGAGTACCCTCTCAGGTCCACATCCCGCCTATCTGGACCAAAAAACTCTCTTGCTCACAAGGGGCAACGGAGAGTTTGAGTGGTATGAAAACAGTGTCAGGGATATGCTCCGACTCCCATTCAGCCACCGTTTCTGTGGTATGGGTGGTCTTCTGTGGTGACTTGCAATCCAATTTGGACCAGACAACCTAATTTTGGCTGCCCTGTCTGGACCTTTGAGCGACGCTTCTATGCACTCAAACATCGAGCGTATCGGCACTGATGTTGACGACATGGTAACGGATGCCCACATCAATACCCTATTAGGCCTAACAGATGACAACCATATCTTATGGCCTCCCATTGATGTATTTGACAAGTACATGCAGTGGCAAGGAGAATGGATGGCAAGCCTGGAGACATGGTTCATGAGGCGCATTGCTGCGATAAAAAATAGGGATCCGCACACATTTGCCACCCATAGTCAATGGATATCGAGACTTGGCCAGCATACGGCAACTTCATTCAAAGACACCAAGGTTGTAACTGAGGGGCAAGCGGAGTTGTTGTGCTTTGACATTGATCGGTTGGATCCAAGATCTATCGCAGCTTTAGATTAGCTTGGGTCATCGTCATTTTATTTGGTTTACAGAAATCACTCATTATACCCATGCCACACGTCTAGCAATGGAATGTACTTTTACTTACTCATACTTCTTGTACAATTATTGGGTTGAGGAATTCAAACTTCAAGAACAGAACAGTATTTGCACGATACATTGGATCAAAGGACTATCGCTTCATGGTATGCAATTTTGTCTTGAGACTTTTTCCAAACCAATGTCTTATAAGCCCACAAAGTCGAACCTCCAAATCTATGTCTTACAAGTCGCTGAAGTAGTCACAACCGAATTACCATTACTAGTATCTGATATTTATTCATGTACAATAATGATCACTACACGGTCTTCCTCCAGTTAATTCCTGTATACAGGCAAAGATCAGGGAGAACACATCAGTGTCCTAGTTTGAAAGTTTGTTTTGGAGGACTGAGACAAGTTGTTTGAAACCCATGCCGGTATCAACATGCTTGCTTGGGAGTGGCTTCAGTGAGCCGTCGTCGTCATGGTTGAACTGTATGAAGATGTTGTTCCATATCTTAAGGACGTTTGGGTCGTCACCACCTTGAGGCCCATGCACTCAAATGCTGAACAGTGCTGATACTGGATGCTTGTTTTCTGTGGATGTGACTGCCTGGATCAGTGGTGGACCGAAGTTGATAATCAATAGTAAGGTTGTCCTGTATACAGGTGAAGATCAGGGAGAACACATCGGTATTGTAGTTTGAAAGTTTGTTTTGGAGGACTGAGACAAGTTGTTCGAAACCCATGCCTGTATCAACATGCTTGCTTGAGCCACTCCCAAACAAGCATGTTGATACTGGCATGGGTTTCAAACAACTTGTCTCAGTCCTCCAAGACAAACTTTCAAACTAGGACACTGATGTGTTCTCCCTGATCTTTGCCTGTATACAGGAATTAACTGGAGGAAGACCGTGTAGCGATCATTATTAAACATGAATAAATATCAGATACTAGTAATGGTAATTCGGTTGTGACTACTTCAGCGACTTGTAAGACATAGATTTGGAAGTTCCACTTCAGCGACTTCTGAGACATAGATTTGGAGGTTCGACTTTGTGGACTTATAAGATGTCGATTTGAAAAAAGTCTCAAAACAAAACTGCATACCATGAAGTGATAATCCTTTGATTGAATGTATCGTGCAAATTCCATATCTTAAGGACGTTTGGGTCGTTACCATCCTGAGGCCCATGCACTCAAATGCTGAATGGTGCTGATACTGTTTCTGCGGATGTGACTGCACAAATCAGTGGTGGACCAAAGTTGAAAACTGATAGTATGGTTCTCAACCACTTCCGACTTAATGCTTTAATGCATCAACATCGACATTCAACCAGATCACTAGTCTATAATTCAGACTAGTCATCCTTCCCAAAAGACAACCTGGCTGTAGACACTTTCCCTCCTCACAGCATGCACTTGAACCCGATTCTCAACCCTCTGCTACTCACTCTCCCTCTCTCAACACTCCTGTGCATATCCCCACAGGACATGGCATCCATAAATTTGATTGTGTGGGCTCTCCTTGCCATAGAACCACAATGCTAGTTGAATGGCTGGTACTGTGACACACATCTCGGACTTTCTTGCAACTACTGTGCCGTAAATCTCAAATATGTCCATGCCCCTCGGACTTTGCTTGTTCCGACAGCAATCCTTCTACTGTCATGATAGAAGCACTCATATCCACCAAGTCAGTACTGAAATGTTGACATGTGAGTATATGTTCATATACAGATGTTGAGAATCCTCAATTGATGCCTTCCATGTCACAGCGCCTTGCCGTCCACCTCTCTTAAGAGTTTAGTTTTGATCAACGTTGACACCGCCTCAGACATTGTGAACGGCACAACTGAGGAGTTCAATGCCTAACACAACTCCCTCATGTCAACTCAACCCATGGTGCAGCTCTATGCTACTCTCTCGGACATTGACTGACACATGTTCCAGGAATATGGCCAGGATGCAGCCAATTTAATGGCAAGTGGTGCATGGAGCAAGACTATGTGCGATGGCAAGATACACTAGTCTTCTTGACCGGTTTTCGATGGGTTTCAGCATTCTATGGTTATGTGTTTTAGACCGCTTTTCATGCTGTTTTATAGCTTTTCGTATTGTTATCATTCCCACATTTGCATACCAGCAAATACCAGGATAATATCAATGATATCATATTTGAGCATAATAGAGCACACACGAAGGGACAATCAAGCAAGTCGTAATATGTGCTAATGTGCTGGATCGTGAAAACAACACAAGGGAGCATGAGGTGGACTGCACCCACATATAAAAAATCTGCTATTTTTCTCATCATGTGCTTGATTGTGCTGTGATATGGCTTTCTTCGCCACAAGCTCTACCAACATACCTCGACACATACTGCCATTTCCCAGCACAACCAGTTTTCACTGGGTCTAATGGGAAAGGTCCAGAGATGTTGAAATATGAAGTACCTGTTTTGTACTGTGTTGAAAAGTGCTTATTTGAGATATACATAGATCTCCTTCGCATCTCACATTGCTTATCGTTATCTTCGCATCGTAAGGTTGCATGCAATGCAAACTTTGTATCGTTGTGCCTTCATCCATGCTCTGCTCACCTTGTATCGTTGTGTCTTTGTCCACAGCACCCAAAGCTACATAAATTGTTGGGGCAGAATTTTTGTTGCCTCACGCTCCCCCAACTGGTGTGTGCCTCGTGTTGCCAGTGCTATCCTAACTACCTGCTTGCAACAGGTTGCTGACAATTCCTGGACCTCGGGCAAGTCAGTCTGCGATGGCCGGCTCTACTGGAGCTTTTTTTATTCTACTCCTGCACGCATCAACATTTTCTGGTCTGTTTTCTTATTCTTTCACTCATCAGATGTCTTCAAGCAGCATTATTTCGGTTTCCATGCTATCACTGTCCCACTATTTATCCTGCTTTCACAATACCGCTGCAGAATACCTACCATGTGTACCACTATACCATTATGCAATGATATCATAATTGACACGAATCGAGCATATTGTTCAAGGGTGGGAACATATGCACTGATGATATGCACTGATATGTTTTAAATCTGTTAGCGTAAAAAAAACATATGAGGACATTGCACAGACTGCCCCATCACATTACATTTTTCTCATTCTCATGTGTCATATGTTCTGAGGTGGTCGTACATGTTTCTCTCTCTGATGTAAAATAATAACATACCACGACACCTCCCGCTGTCATGCATGGTATGCAACTCATTCCATGACAGATACACAAGAGGTGTGATAAGGAAGGTATAATAGACCCTACTGTATCCTATCACCAAGTTACCCCATCATTTTCCCCTTAGTTATTAGCTAGTATTTTCACTTTCAAACTTCACTTCCATTTTTCCATGTATTTCTATTTTGTTCTATGGCATTCCATCTCTTTCTATTTTCCTTAGGCATATTCAGCCAACAGACTTTCTTTTCAGCCACCAAGCATGTTTGTAAGCATGTCACGTGATTGGTAGATATCATGATTTGTAAAGATTGAGCTTGACTCATCATGTTTTGTCATGATTTGTCATGATTTGTAAGATTTCTAACTGTATTT